ATTCTCATAAATTCAAGTAGGCTCCGCGGTGCCTCTTGCTTTGACAGTAAGTGAAGTGTTACATAAAGGAGTGAGTCTTTTTTCAATCTGTAAGCATGTATGTTAGCGTGTGTTCGTATGTATGTATGTATGTATACATTCGCTGCGAAACTGATTTGAAAAAAATGATTTATATACATTGCCCTACTATTTGATTCTCATGAATTCAAGTGCCCATAGCAGGTATTCCTGCTTTTATAGTAAGAAAATTATTATTATTTATTGTAATTTATGTAAGTGAGTATGTTTGCAAGCCTATATGTGTATGCATATATGCATGCGTAGCCTTGCACTTATACAAATTTCTATATCGCACCACCATTTATTAATAAAGCCTGCCTTTCTCCAATAACGTAACCATTTTCTGGTTATATGTGAGTACATATTAACATACATACTTGTATATATAATAATAAAATGCTAACTTTTTAGGCAATTCCGGAATCACAACTTGGATACGGGTTATCAATTAGTATCATATCATAGTTCGGGGACTGATAAGTTTTCCTAGTTTGCTGAGTTTGATAAAGATATTTAAAGAATCAAAAAGTTATTGAGCAATTTTTCTGGTCTCGCGAATTTTCCTGAAAAGAACAGTTACAAAAATACTAACAAAGTTATAATACCTTCGTTAGTATTTCCATGCCTAACAATAAATGGGTCATATTAATAACATATGTTTGTGAATGTATAGCTATGTATATGTGTGTGTTCGTGTGTGTGCGTGTATTGTGGGTAGCACAGGCAGATGCCTTTGATTGATAAGGCTGCATAAGCGTGTTTGCTTAGCTGAAGGAAAAGCGAGTCAAAGAAGCCACCAACATTTCGCACCTTTTCAACAGGTTGTAAATGGGCGTCGGGCAAATTGAAAGCGGGACTCAATAAAGCTTTTGGACAGCAAAGAAGAGAGAACACAGCTCCAGGCTAACGGCTCTCTGTCTGTCTGTCTGTCTGTCTGTTTGTGTGTGTGTGTGTGTGTGTGCATGTGTGTGTGTGGGTATATCGACGCTGTCTGAACTCAATGATGGATTAAATGTATTTCAAGAGCGTGAAAGCTAAAAGGTAGCACAAAGTAGCGCATTGTGGTTACATAATAAACATGAAGCACACTTCAATTTGGCTTAAGGCAGACACACACACACACAAATTCAATGGTTGGTCGATTCTGTGCGACCCAATAAAATGTATTGGCTAATTGTCAAAGGCTTACAGCCTGCGGCTTTCGGGCTTATGCAAATCAGGCCACCAGCTGTGCAGTCAGGTGTAAGATTCCCGATAATTGTAGAGGTTGCTTAAAGCCACAGAACCGGCGATAGCCAAAGGCAATCAGTTCACCCTTTAACGACAAAAGGATTCAAGTGCCACATAAAAGGATATGTAAGCGTCCTTTCAATATAAACTGATGCATGGCCAAAACGGACAAACTTCGAGCAACAAATGAAGCGTGTGCTAAAACACGAGACACCAGCTCTATATAAGAAAATTAAATAAATAAAAAGTTTGTATATACTTTAAGTAAAGACTGGGCAAGGAATTGCTAATCAGCAATATTTAATTCACGTCATCTGATGCTTAAGGCAAAAATTGTTTAATGAAACTCGTTATTAACAAACGCTGTTAATCAGCAGAGACAAGAGCGCTTTAGACAAGATTGAGCAACTAGCAGATACCCTGTAAGTTGATAATAATAAATTATGCCGATCAGAGTTAAGAAATGGCGCTAAATTTATAGTATAAGACATCTAAGGTGTTTATACATCAATCCATAAAAGAATCGATAGAGAAGAGCTTCCAAATTTAAAGTATAACACTTATAATATTCGCAAAAAGTATTTATATAGAGAATATAAATATTCAGTAAACTCTGTGGCTTAGTAAGAAATCGACAAGACTTTTTGCAAGAGTGTTAATATCTGTCATGGATGAAAAATTAAGAAACTTAGAGTAGCGTGAATATTATCAAAGTAGTTGAACATGACGGGCAAATGTCAAAAAATGGCGGACATGATTAATGAAACGCCAGCGCCCTCTAGCGTGAGAACTGGGCGTTGCATGCCACTGAGAGGCAGCATAAATTAGTTGCTTGATAAGCTGAAAAAATATACATATTTATATATATAATATGTGCATATACATATATACATTATTTGTTCGGAGGAAAATAATAATAATAACAAATAAAAAAACACACAGTTGTAAACTAATTATGGATATTGTATATTGAAATGCAACATAAATTAAACTGTACTGATTTCATGCGGCGTATACTTAATATTAAATACAAACTGAATATGCGTACAGTTTTTTTCAGAACAGCAATTAATTGTAGGTCGTGTAATTGGGAAAGTGCTGTAAGCTATATAATCCTTGAATTGAAAATAAAAACATTTTAACTGCACAAATTGTTGCAAACTTTTTAAAGCAACTGCCATTAAACTGTGACAAGGAGTTAAAAAGCAAATTAGGGCAAAGTTCTGGTTGGCGGCGTATGACGCGCATTAAGAAGCAATTAGGAAAATTGAAAGCAAGAAAATCTCGGACCGACAACGGGAAAAACTGGCATTAGCCTGCTGTCACAAAAACAAGCTAAAACAACAGCTCGACACGGCCCGACAAGCACACACACACACACGCACACTCGCACACACAGACAAATTAACACAATTACAATCTGCACATGTGTTGGCCTTATAAGTCGCATAAGACATGCGTTGGCTATAAAGAAAAACCCAATTAAAAGTGATAAAAGTTATTGAAGCGTTGCCCGACTGAAGGAAATAAAAGGCGCTGGAAATGCGAATGGGCAACAGGCGAACAGAGCCGTACAAAGTGGGCGCCATTAGTGTGCCAGAAACACGACCAGAAACACGACCAGAAACAGGACCAGGAACAGCAACAGAAACACCAAAGATCCAGATTATCACACGTTTGTGTCTAGCGGCGGGACAAATACGTGGCACGCGCAGCTCCATGTTGGCGGTGGGGGAAACAAGCTGAAACAAGCTGGAAAGCTTTTATTTTTTATTTTTATTGCGCCATTTTTCAAATCAATTAGAGGATTTCTTTTGCTTGCAACGCGAACTGACAAGCCAAAGACGATAAATTGAAGTCATTGCCAATAAGCTGGCCCGTTATTGATAGAAAAGGTGTTGAAATCAGAAAACCAGGAAATGGACGCCGGCTCTCAGCTTTGTGTGAACTTTTATTATTGGTAAATAAAAGCAGGCCACGCTTATCTAATTCTTATCATAAATATCTACAAAATATATACAACAGAAATGATGCCAGACTTTTGCTAAAATCATCACCTGATGTGATGTAAGTGCACACTAAGGCGGAGTTTTGGTAAATTATGAAAAACTCTTATATGAAACGTTTTGCTTACTTCGCACTTTTTACAAAATTTGATTACTTTACTTGGTTGATAGCTCCCACCTGCAAATTAACGAAGCACAATTTATAAATATCACCCTACTATGCGATTCTCATTAGTTTAAGATAGAATTGTAGGTGTCTGTATGTCTTTATGTATGTATGTATGTGAGTGGGTATGTGTGTTCGTGTGTGTATGTATGTATGTGCGTATATATGTATGTACGTATGCATGTCAATTGTCTTATAAAATACCAAAAGCAGACCAATTTGTCTTGATGCGCGGCAAGTTTAAATAAGAAAACGTTTTTATTAAAGCCGCCCTCCTCCTCGATTCTCAAAAATCTAAGTAAGGCTTGCAGGCTTCACCTATGAATTAGGCGCAGGCGGCTTCAACGCTGGAAGCTGAGGAGCCGGAGGAGCTTGGCGGAGGAGGAGGCGTGTGCTTGTAGATATGTAGATATGTAGATATGTAGGTATTTAGGCATGTACATATGTAGTTATGTAGGTATGTAGGTATGTATGTCTGTATGTATATATGTATGTATGTATGTATGTATGTATGTATATATGTATGTATGTATGTATGTATGTATGTATGTATGTATGTATGTATGTATGTATGTATGTATGCATGTATGCATGTATGCATGTATGTATGTATGTATGCATGCATGCATGTATGCAGCTTGAGCAAAGGAGGAGTTGCCTTTAATGTTGCAGGAGACAGATTCAACTATGATAAGGTGGTGACTAAGGCTTTGGCGGAGGAGGCGGCGGCATCCATTTTAAATTTGGTCCTTAAAAGACACTGATACGTATTATAAATATAACATTGTCTTGTTATATTTAAAATAATAGTCTCAACTATTGCAATCATATGTATTCATGTTTATTTATATGTATTTGAATAAATACATTCATGCATGTGCATGTTGTGTTGAGCTAAACATTAACAAAAAACATTTTTATATAAAAAATTGCTCTTCTCAGCGATTCTCACTAATTCAACTTAGGTTTAAACTTGTGTTATATACCATATATGTATGTACATATGTATGTGTGTATTTATGTGAATGAATGCAGAAGTCTCAAAAATCTATTTTACTTCTTCATCTTTCGATTGATTTCAAGCAGGATTATCTGTTCCATACACACAGTCAAAGTAAACTATCTATTTTTCGTTTTTATATACTTAGCTGACCATCAAAAGTCAACTTAGAACTTATAACTTAGAACTTATAACTTTTAACTTATATATTTAATGGCATGTAATTGACTTTGGGTGGACAATTTCAGCGGCACTTGCAGCGCCAATTAAACGCCTTCGATGACCAATTGCGGCTGTCGGCAGAAATTGCTGCGAATTGCAGTGCAGGCAACGTGTCGTATACGTAATGACAGCAGGGCGAAATGGGGCGAAAGTGAAGATGCCGCTGAAGCGCAATCAATGCATAATTTTAATGCCTTTTTAAAAAAAATACGAACTCAATTATATTTAATGTGCTTACCGCGGCATTTTGCTGGCCAAATGGTCGCCAGGTCCGTATAAAAGCCGCCGCTTAACGGAAGCCTTCTGCAAAGGACTGGCAAAGGACGTACTCAGAGCATGAACTCGTTAATATTCCCAGAGCTGTTTGTGCTGCTTTTGCTGCTCTTGCTCTGGCCGCTGACAGTGTCCACATCAATGTCAGGGCACGTGTCAGCAATCCCCCGCGGACAGCAGCAGCAGCAGGAAAAGGAACAGGAGCAGCTGCTGCTCAAAGGCGCTTCGTGGGGCAATCAATTGCCGGATATGGTAGTCGCTTACTATCGCCAGCATGGCGTGCACAGCCTGATGCTGGTTGTTTGTCACGGGGACATTGGTGAGCTGTGGATATATTCCCGCCCGTAACTAAATGCATGACCCGTCCACAAATACAGATGCGGCACGTTTGCATGCGCTTTTGCAACATTTCATGGCACACAATATTTATGTGCAGCTCTGGACGGAGCACTGTCTGAATGACCTGCGCCACGTCGGCAATGAAACGGACACTCCGGAGGCGCCGCCCCCGCGCAGCTTTCAGGCGGACAACGAAACACACTGGCAGCTGGCATTTGTCCTGCCTGCACTCAACAACAAACTGGGCATTCTGCTGCTGCAGTTCAACAGTTCGTGTGCTCTGAATCTCTTGCGCTGGTCCGCGGCCACGGAGCATAATTACTTTACCACGAATCGCTATTGGCTGCTGCTCACGCAGGATCTGCAGGAGCTGGAACTGCTCGAAGATGCTGAGATCTTTTTGCCACCCGACAGCGAAGTGCGTGTGCTGTGGCACAGTCCGTCGCAGCCGTTCACTGCCACCCTGCTGGACGTGTACAAGGTGGCCGCCTGGAAGCCGCTGAAGCGCCGCTTGGTGGGCCATCAGCTGCACAATCCACGACACATGGTCCATGCGCTGCGACACTTCGGATCGGCGATTACATACAGACAGAATCTGGAGGGCATTGTCTTCAATACAGCTATTGTTATTGCATTTCCAGATCTGTTCACCGACATTGAAGACCTCTCCCTGAGGCATATCGATACCATTTCCAAAGTCAATCATCGCCTCATGCTGGAGCTGGCCGTTCGATTGAATATGAGGTATTTATTAATATCTGAGATTGATTCTCAGTTCGGTTTCGCTTCGCCTATTTATATAGGAAATATTTAATAACTGTAGCCGCATCTGCCAAATCCAAAAAAAAAAGCATTTTCAAAAAAAGCCTTTCTATGCGATTTTCATGATTTCAAAGAACACATTTATAATCGTAATGTTAAGGCTCTAGTATTATAACAATCTATTTATCTGCACCTTTCTCTCCGTCTCATTTTTTCTTTTCTTTCTGCGGCATCTGCTAAATCCAAAAAAGTATTTTTAAAAAAGCCTTTCTATGCGATTTTCATGATTTCAAAGAACACATTTATAATCTTAATGTTAAGTCTTTAGTATTATAAGAATCTATTTATCTGCACCTTTCTCTCCGTCTCACTTTCCCTTGTTCTATCTCTCAATCTGTCTGCCTCCTATTGCTACTCACAATATCTCGCTCTTTCGCAAACTCTTTCTGCATCTTTTAAAAATCGGCTTTCTATGCGATTCTCATGGTGTCTAGAAGGGCTTTTGGCTTGTATGTACAGTAGGAAAATTAAGTTAAGCTATTCTCTCCCTCCCTTCCTATCGCCATTAAACCTCTCTTGCTGGCCAGCTATAACACCTACCAGACCGTCAATTATGGATGGCGTCAACCGAATGGCTCCTTCGATGGCCTAATGGGTCGCTTTCAGCGCTATGAACTGGACTTTGCGCAGCTGGGGATCTTTATGCGCTTGGATCGCATCGCCCTATGTGACTTTGTGGCCGAAACGTATCGCGTGCGAGCTGGCATCATGTTTCGACAGCCTCCACTGTCGGCTGTGGCCAACATCTTCTCGATGCCCTTTCAGCAGGACGTTTGGATATCCATACTGTTCTTGCTGATCATAACAATGCTGGTGCTGCTATTAGAAATGTTTTTCTCTCCGGACACACACAACATGTCCTATTTGGATTCGGTGAACTTTGTCTTTGGCGCCATGTGCCAGCAGGGTTTCTATGTGAACGTGCGCAATCGTTCGGCAAGAATTATAGTCTTTACCACATTTGTGGCCGCTGTTTTCCTGTTCACCTCCTTCTCGGCGAATATTGTGGCTCTGTTGCAGAGTCCGTCGGATGCGATACAATCGCTGGGTGATTTGGGCCAATCACCGCTGGAAATTGGCGTGCAGGATACACAATATAATAAAATCTATTTTACCGAGTCCACAGATCCGGTGACAAAGAGCTTGTATCACAAAAAGATTGCCTCAAAGGGAGATTTTGTTTACATGCGCCCTGTGCTGGGCATGGAGAAAATGCGCACCGGACTATTTGCATACCAGGTGGAGCTCCAGGCGGGCTATCAAATTGTCAGCGATACATTCAGTGAGCCAGAAAAATGTGGACTCATGGAACTGGAACCATTCCAGCTACCCATGTTGGCTGTGCCAACACGCAAAAACTTTCCCTACAAGGAGCTATTCCGCAGGCAGTAAGTAGCCAAGGACTGGATAATTGCAATGTAATTAAACCAATTTCTCTGGAACAGAATACGCTGGCAGCGCGAGATTAGCCTGGTGAATCGCGAGGAACTCAAATGGATACCACAGAAGCCGAAATGCGAGAGCGGCGTCGGTGGCTTTGTCTCCATTGGCCTCACCGAATGTCGCTATGCATTTGGCATCTTTGGCTGCGGCGCCGCGCTCAGCTTTGGCGTGTTCCTCGTCGAGCTCATCCGCAAGCACAGCCATGGCATCTACACATTTATTCGGGGTTACAAAGACACGCTGCATTGAGCAGCAAGCCGTTTATTTCGTACATTAATTGGTTCTTAGATATGTTAAAGGGAACTTAAGTTGGTACAGACAGCTCCCTGACCACAGCACGTAGCACATCTGGCGTTTTGAACTGCCAGTTACGGATGCACTTGCTCACACTGCACCATGATTCACCGTGTGTGGGCTCCGCGGCAATGCAACGCTCGAGCACCTCCTGCTGCTGTTGTTCCGTGCCATGCAACAGCTCGAATTTGTAGAAGTATGCCCAAGCATCGCCCAGATCCGGATCAATTTTCACCTAAGTGGAAAGAAAATGATGTTAATAGGGCAAACATTTTAGAAATTAATTAAAGTATCAACACTTACCGTCCTATTGAACCAATCTCTACACTTTGAGAACTTGTGCTCTGACCAGAACAGCTTGGACACCGCCAACAGTACGTGCGGATCGTGTTCGCATTTCTTGAGTGCATCCACCGATTTGGTCTTGCGCTGTGGCTTCGTTTCCATAAAGATAGCCTCTGCCCACAGCTCGCCGGAATTGGGGCACTCTTGCAGGGCACGCGCCATCATTGTGCTGGCAATCTCCTTAAGTCCGGCACGCAGCTCTACACGGATGGCCTCCAGCCAGAGCACGGCTACCTTGGGATTGCGCAGCCTTCCTCGCTCCAGTATTGAACGCGCCTTGGTTAAGACACCTTTGCGCTCCTCCAGATTAGCTGACAAAATCCACAGGGGTATCGAGGTGGGGCATTTTTTCAATGCCAGCGTGTAGGTGGCGGCCGCATCATCCGTGCGCCGTTGCTGCTCCTCAATCTGACCCTTCATCATCCAGAGTTTCGGAAAATCGGGAAACACTTCGACGGCCTCGGCTAGCAAACGCAACGCCTCATCGAATCGTTCCAATGCCCATTCGAGTCGCGCCGACTTCATCATAACACGCGGCGTGGGCGCAGATCCACGGGCCTTGGCCAACAAACGTCGCGCACGCTCATATTCAGAGTTCTCCGACTCCAACTTGACGGCTGCCAGCCAAATATCCTCGGAATTGGGATTCGCCTGGAAGGCCAACGACAAAATTCCTCGGGCAGCGGGCACATCGCCCGCCATCCACTTTGACTTGGCGCCCATCAGCCAGAGTATCTCCGATTTGGGACAATGCGCCACAGCACGTTGCAGCAGCGCTTCCAAAGACTCTCGTGTGCCATGATTCTTCTCAAAGTATGCAGCACGCAACCAAATGCTCTTCTTTGATGGAAACATCTGCAGTGCATGCGCATAGACAGCGCGCGCGCATTCAAATGCATTCTCCTTGGCGCACTAAAAGAAAATTAATATTAGACCAGCATGAAGATGGAATCGCAAACAAATACTCACAAATTCGGCATCATCGATCCAGGTTTGCTTGCGATCCTCCTCCTCGACACCAATGCCAATGACAGCTTTCACAATTGCCTGGCAGCAATTAACAGCGCCCGACTTCTCCGCCTCGATGGCCTCCTGGAACCAGTGATCCCGATTGATTTCCACGCCGTTCGCCGTAAGCGATGTCAGCGAACGATCGACAATCTTTTCGACCATGTGTATGTTGCCATTGGCCTCTTCCAGCTTGGCAGCCGTTGTCCAGATCTGGCGATCTGTGGGTATATTCTCACGCGCCTTGTTCAGCACCTTGCGCGCATTCTCATAGGTCTCGAGGCGTGCCAAGGCCAACCATAGCTCCACACTGGTGTTGCAGCACTCGACGGCACGCGACAGCAGGATCCGAGCATCATCGGGATTCTCCAGTTCCACGGCCGCCTTCCACAAACGAACCGAGTTCGGTATGTGCTCCAGAGCTTTGCGAAAGACGCGTCGCTTGGCTTTGGTTTCGGTCTCTAAATCGGCAGCCTTGATCCAAATTCGCACCGAAGTTGGTATGTGACGTGCCGCCTGGGCAATGACCACCTTGGCTGTATCGGGCGGTTGTAGGCGCGCCGCCTCCAGCCAGAGATCCTCTGATTGTGGATTCATTTCGCAGCCACGCATTATTAAATTGCGTGCCATTTGTACCTTGCCTGTGACCTCTTCCAACCGAGCCGAGGCTATCCAAGCAGGCGGATGATTGGGATTTGTTTCACGCACGCTTTTAAGCAGCAGACGCGCCTTTTTAATGTCATTGATGTCGCCGCCATAGGTGGGTATCATGCTCTGCAGATCTGTCAGATAGCCCTTGGGGTCGACCACCGTTTGACCTGTCACAGAGTCCGATACCTGCGAAAGTTTTACATTCATGAGCGTGTTTCGCGCCTGTCCAATTTTGCGCAAGTCCAAATCGCCGGTGGGCGTTAACATGCCGGGCGTGGCTACGCCGGGCACCATGGACGCCAAGCCGGAGCTGGCATCCAATGAGGATGCAGTCTCACCGCCCAGATTGCGCGAGAGAACGCTGTCTGGCAGCGGGGTAAACTTTTCGGCTCGCGGATTGCGCTGCTTGCGATTGCGACTGTCACCCACTTCGGGTATGGTGGACCACTCTTCGGTGGTAACTGTGGCCAGCGAACGCTTCAGATCGCTAAACTGCTGCTGAATCTTGGGCCGCTCCTGACGATAGCGCTCCAAGTCCTCGCGCAAGCGTCTATCGCGATATTCTTTGCGTTTCTCATCCATGCGCTTCTCTATAGAATCGTAAATTGCGTCCGCCTCTTCATCGTCCTTATCGTAGGGATCCTTGGAGAAGAGTGAGCCGCTGTAGCCGCTAAACTCGTCATAGTTGGAGTCGTTTAAATCCTCGTCTTCCTCCTCCTCTTCGTCCTTTTTCTTGCGCTTGGTGGCTGGCGGTGCGTGGCGATCGTCGGAAACATCGTTGGCATCGCGCGCGGGACCAATATCCGAACGTGTCGTAAAGCCAGTGGCGCTGTGTTACAAAAATTAACATTTGTAGAAAATGTAGTGTATAATAAGAAACAACTTACCCACGTCCCACGCCGGCAACATATCCAAGCGGCGCCGGCACACCAAGGAAATGCTTTTTATTGCGGTTAGCAATTACCGCAGCTGTTATATTTGACATCTTTTCTACGGTTTTACGTTATTTTTTCTATTCTCTATAATAATATTCAATGATATAAACAAAACGTTTGCGAGGCGCTGAATTGTACTATTCGCCCGGAATGGTAAGTTTAGAGATGAGACATTTCACAACTGTGCACAGGCAACTAAACTATCGCTTAAAAATATCGTTGTCATGTTTGTAATCGAAATATTTGACCATATCTAACAATAGCTTATCGAACCAAAGTCGGCATAGAACAGAAAAGCAATTCAATAATTTTCGCAAATTACGCTTGCAAACAAAACGCTGCAAGATGCCCGTGCTGCCTATGCCGCCGCTTATGCAGGTAAATAACATTGTAATTTTGATGCCACCATCAAAGTTCTCACGTAGCCGTGACACATTTTTAAGAATGCCGTGGAGCCAATGCAAGTGGATGCGCCACCGAACGAAGACAATGAAAACAATGAAGAGCATCAAATTGTGGTAGAAAATCCGACAATTGATCTTGAGGTATATGCCAATCAATATACGGGTATCGCTCGTCTCGATCGCCTGATTTATGTGGCCGACGTTTGCCCACTTCTGACCCTGGAGGCACTCAAAATGGCCATCACCTACGTGCAGTCTACCTACAACGTGAAAGTCTATCAAATGCTGCACAAGCGTTTGGCTGATCTACAGGCCGCTGCTGGAGTTGCGGGAGCGGCTGCTGCTGTTCCGGCAGGTGATCAAGCAGCCGGCGGTGCTGCCGCTGTTGCAGTTGCAGCTCTGCCCGACATCGCTGCACAGCCGGCAGCAGCAGCAGCGGCTCAGGCCAATGCCACCAGCGCTGGAGGTGAGAAGGATGCCTTTGCCTATGACGCTGTCTGGGTTGATGCGAAAATGAAGAAGGCGGCTCTCAAACTGGAGAAGCTCGACTCGGATCTAAAGAACTATAAATCGAATTCCATCAAGGAGAGCATCCGACGCGGCCACGACGATCTGGCGGATCATTACCTAAGCTGTGGCGATCTGACCAATGCCCTGAAGTGCTATTCGCGTGCGCGCGATTACTGCACCAGCGGCAAGCATGTAGTCAATATGTGCCTGAATGTTATCAAGGTTTCCATTTACTTAAAGAACTGGGCGCATGTCTTGAGCTACATATCAAAGGCGGAGAGTACGCCTGACTTTTCCGAGGGCTCCAAGGAGGCAAATGCACAGGTGCACACGCGTCTAGAGTGCGCCGCCGGATTGGCCGAGCTGCAGCAAAAGAAATACAAAGTGGCGGCCAAACATTTTCTGGCAGCCAACTTTGATCATTGTGAGTTTCCAGAAATGATCTCCACCAGCAATGTGGCCGTCTACGGTGGTCTCTGCGCCCTGGCCACCTTTGATCGGCCGGAGCTGAAGCGTCTGGTAATTGCTTCCACCTCGTTCAAGCTGTTCCTGGAGCTGGAGCCGCAACTGCGTGATATTATCTTCAAGTTTTACGAGAGCAAATACGCCAGCTGCCTTACGCTGCTCGACGAGATACGCGACAATCTGCTGGTGGACATGTATATAGCCCCACACGTCAGCATACTCTATACCAAGATACGCAACCGTGCGCTAATCCAATATTTCAGCCCATATATGTCCGCTGATATGCACAAAATGGCCACAGCCTTCAACTCGACTGTGGGCGATCTGGAGAACGAGGTGATGCAGCTCATACTGGACGGCCAGATACAAGCTCGCATCGACTCGCACAACAAGATACTCTACGCCAAGGAGGCCGATCAGCGCAACAGCACTTTCGAGCGCGCCCTGCTCATGGGCAAACAATATCAGCGCCACACCCGCATGCTTATCCTGCGCGCTGCCATGCTCAAGAGCCACATCCATGTGAAGAGCGTCTCCCGCGAGAGTGGCAGCAATCATGGCGCCGAGCTGTGCGTCTCCGCGGGCTCCAGCACAACCGCACAACTGGCTCGCATTTAAAGCCAACTACAAAATATAGCAACATTCGATACACACGAAAACGGACACTTGTTAACCAGGACAAGTTGACCTTTTTATTTTTTTCCTTCTGCGAATTTCTTTTGTGCGGCAAAATAAAGTCTTATAGCGAAGCTAATTAATTCAAAATAACTTGTGCTTTTGATACACTTGCTGAAATTACCTTAAATTGGTCAGCAAGTGTGGATATTTCTTCTAATCCATAATTCGCTCATGTTTAAATATCTTAATATAATGTATAAAGTTTCCCACGGGCTGGAAATGGGTGAAAAAGTAATATCTAAGCTTGTGTATATATAGATTCTTGATCATTCTGTCTTGTTTCAGTTTATTCAATCATATTTCTCCCTATTTCCAGCAGGCAGACTCTGTATAGTTGTCCGATCCGTTCAGCTTTGAGCTGCATATACATAAAACAGAAAGAGACTGGCTAGCATTTAAAAAGATGGAATTATATTTTTATAAAAAATGTGTTGGTGAGTTTTGCTACAAGTGCGATTATAAAAATGTAAATGCATGTAAAATTAATGCCTATCGCGTTTTTTGTGTTCCCGGTCGCGGCGTTTGTCGCCGCTGCGCGAACGCTGTCGCCTTTGCCTGGCTCGCTCCTCTCTCAGTGGGCTACGTGATCTTTCACGATGGCCATTGCTATGATGATTGTCTCTGCTGGCTTTGTGCCGTTCCTCCGCAGCTGCTTGGGAGCCATTCGTGTGACCATTTCGGCTGTGTGAGCGGTCGCGTCCACGAACGCGTTGCTCCTTGTTTTTGCTGCGTGAACGCGATCTCTCTCTGCTTCTGTGATTGCTCTTTTGGCGCTTGTTTTGGTCAGCTGGGCCGGTGTCCGAGTCGGATGATGAGGAAGATGAGCTATCGTTGTTGCTCTCGGTCGACTTTTTATTTTTCATCCTTTTGCCGTCTTTGCTGTCCTTTTTGGACTTCTTCTTGGTAGACTTGATTGATTTCTTTTCACCCTTGCGCTTCATGCGCTCAATTTTCTCCAGTTTCTTGAGCAGTTTTAGCTTTTGTTTTTTGCTTAGCGACTTGAGAAACAGCAACTCGGGATTATGCTGCTTGGCGGCACGTGTTGCCTCGTCCTCCTCGTCGCTGGGCACCAGCTGGTGGCGCTGCTGCACAGCCTTAATGCTTTGCAGCTCCAGTGCCGATCGCTTCATCATCAGGCCATCTTCCTTCATTTGCTCCTCGAGCACATTCTTGGACATGATGTCGTTGGCCTCCGACTCCGAGTGCAGCTTGCGTGCCTCGCTCATCGATATGCTGTACATGCTGCACTCCTTGTCCGTGTTGATGTGTCCCCATTTGTGGCACTTGAGACAGCGAACGTTACGCACCTGAATGCCGAAAGGCTGATCTCGTATTTCGGTGTCTCCCTTGCAATAGGATTCTCGAGGCGCATTATATTTGCGCTGCCATTCAAACTTGTATTCCGGCTCGGCGTCGTCCTTTTCGCGCTCCTTGCGCACACCAGGCGGCGGCTCATACATAAAATTAACGCTCAGCTTGTCTTTGCTGTCCTTGCTGAGCATGGCCTTGTTCTCGTGCAGATTCTGCTCCTTTTCATACTGTGTGCGCAGCTCCTCTTGCTTCTTTTTATATGCCTCAGCTTGCTGCTCCGCCATCCATACCTAAACATTTATAAAAATACATTTTATAAACGATTAATTCCATTATAAGCATAGGTGTCCAGACGCTACCTACCCGCTTAAGGTTGTCCCGTGAGGCAGGATGGAAGAATTTCTTGCACATATAATTGTTGAAGCCTTTGCCCATCTTGTTATATTGTTAATTCCTATATTTCTAAAGTAAAAAATGATTATTTCACAATGCGTTCTGCAATGTTGAGCCAAAATTGTGTTTGTGGATGTGATTTTCTTTACGCTGCAGTTTAATAATACTAAAATCTATCGATAGATTTGCAATCTCTAATTAAAGAACCAGCAAACAATTGCGCTTTTCAACTCGTTGAACCAATTTCTGCAGCTGCTCCGATTATTTTATGCTTTTAACGTATCTAACATAAAAAGTTTCAATCTAAAAATATAGAATAATTTTAAAGAGCAAGTGAAAAAACTTGATTATTAATAAATAGCCGAGTTTGATTTAAGATCGTTTCTTGGTGATGCGATAGTAACAATAAAAGAACTTTCGGAGCTAGATTCATAATGGAGAGGTCATTTAAGCTACGCTTAAACGTTTCCCAACACTAACCAACTACGCCAGTACGCAAAAACCTACCTATTTTAAAATTTTGACCTGCGACCTAATTTTTAAAAATGGATACTGATCCAAATGCTATGGTGTATTGTCCCTATAACAAGGCACATAAAATGCTGCGCAAAAAACTGCAACAGCATATACTGAAATGTCGGGAGCTATACAAAGACGAGATTGAGCTGCTTGTCTGTCCATTCAACAAGGCGCATCTTATACCCGAGCCAGAGTTTCTAGTAAGTGACACGCTAGAGTCAATCAAGTTGAATTTTCCTCTAATCTCCACAAACACACACGCACACACACACCTTGCAGCCACACACAAGATCATGCATCGATCGTAAAATCATCGCTCATTATCAGCACAGTGCACCCGCTGAGCTGACCGAAGATACAAGACACGAAAAAATCGCAACAGAAGAAAACTGGGATGACGACGATGTGCCCGACTATAATCCCCAGTTGTACGTTTCCACGGCAAATGTTGTACGCGAGCCGAATGGCATGTTCCCCTCACAGCGCAAGGCATTCATCAAGGAGGAGCGGAAGCGTTTGCTGGGCCAAGACAGCGATGAAGATTCGAATGAGAAGACCCAAAGCAGAGGAGGACCAACCAAAACCACTTCCCCAACAACGCAGCGTTCGGCGCCCTACAAGTTGCCAAATCGCCATCGCTGATTGATAGGGAACTCGAATTTATAGCCAAATATTAAATATAAAACATAGTTATTTAATCGTTTTTAAAAGCATGCATGTAATCTATATGTATATTCTGGATTTTACTGTTTCTCAGCGAAACGGCGTCGTTCCTGGGCCCTAAAATTTCGGCGTACACTCTTGGATTGCCCGTGTAGGCCACTTGAGCGTATCACCAAATTCTCCTCACAGTAGGCACTCGGATTGTAGGTGGGCACATCCGGTTCGTTGTCCCAATCCTCTTCACATTCTATCAACATTTGGGTTGCAGGCGCATCCACCGCTGGCTGCTCGTCTTTCTGTGCTTGCCGCTCCAAGCTGGCACGTTCCGGACATATTTTTATGTGCGCCTGCATGAATTTAAAATGTATTCAAACGAGACGCAACAGGTCGAAAATATTACCAACCTGCAGCTGTTGTGCATCGAAGCGATGGTTCTCGTTGAAGGGGCAGGTCAGCAATTTATTTAAATTCTCCGCGTTACGGCTGCAGCGCACCAAATGTTTTGTCAGGCGTCCGCGGAGCACTATATGTGCCTTGTTGTACGGACATGCGACGAAATCATCAAATTTACTCGTGGACGCCATCTTTGAAACTGAATATGTTTTTACAGCAAAAACTCCGCATCATCCAAATCACAAGATCTCGATAGGTGGCAGTTCCTTACGATAACGATGAATTTGGCGTTTCCTCCGTGGAACTCTGCGATATTTAATTTTTTGTACTTACCCAAAATCTACATGCGTTTATTAACTGAAAAATATTCTTTATTTCTAATTATCTCTAATGTTTTGCAGAAGTGACCAGGAACTATAATAAAGTTCTGCATCCGTTCACTTTGTCTATATAAGGTCAATTCTGGACTAATTGTTTATTTGATTGTTTAGTATAATTGTATATGCATATGATATAAAGCCCAAAACGACATGACCTATCCATAAATAGGAAAACGACCTTCATACTTTAACTCGTCCATTCTGAGCCAAACATCTAAACTAAATGCATATAGAACAGAATTTAGTCAAAGTAATTTTGCCTTTTTGTTCACATGAAAGATACATTTAAATAGAACTCTATGCTAACGCATTATTATTATTGTTCTAGTGGAATATATATGTGAAAGTATTTATTCCATTTGTTGAAAGCATTGTGAAACAAGGCTCTTTATAAATACTCAATTTATCAACGACTGGTGTTAGCTCATAAATGCCTCGATACCATGATGAAATAGAATATACATATGTATGTAAGCCCGCCTATCTTTCGAATCCTACTCCACGTTTAACAATTTGTATAGCCGGAGTACTTGTATATATTGTTGGTGTCACAGTCAAGGTTTTATGTTTTTATTAACATAATAAAGAATATACCTTTTGATTCGTTTGCAAATGAAAAAGAAATAGATTTGTAATTTACAAATATTGGGAAAATTCAACTCTTCTTTATTGTAAAAGAATTGCGGCATTTTCTCACACTTCACACAATTTCGTTTTCTCATTGACACTAAGCGTTACGGTTAAAACTGTAAACAGTGGCGCGTTGGCATTGGATGTTGTTGTTGCTTTTGCTGCGCTGCTGCTGCTGCTGCTGCTGCACATGTTACTGTTGTTGTTGGGGTGCTTGGGAGATTTACGCTGTCTCCATGGGCTGAGCGGCAGTCTCCTCGGTGTATTTGCCCTTGTCCTTGCCCAATGCAGCCAAACGTCCCTTGCTGCGACGCTCCAAAATGGCCTTGCGATCCTTGTCGAGCTTCAGCTTAACAATCAGCACTTTGCTGGGATGAATGCCAACATAGACGTTGGTGCCGTTAGCATTCTCACGCTGGATCTTCTCAATGTAGACGACGAACTTCTTGCGGTACGCCTGCACCACTTTGCCCACCTGGCTGCCCTTGTTGTGGCCACGGATCACCTGAACCTCGTCGTCACGACGAATGGGCATTGAGCGCACATTGTACTTCTGACGCAGCTCCTTTGACAGGGGGGCGGACATCAGGCGACGGCGGATGTGTGAGGGAGCCTGGAAGTGACGCTTGCGGTTCTTCCTGCGCGACGACGACACAAACTTGTTCAATTTCATCTTGGTTGGTTGTGCGGGCTGTGGAAACGTTAAACAATTGCAATGATTAGCAACTTTAATATGAAAATTTCAAAAGTTTTGCATTTGCTCATAATTTGCATTTGTTTATTTTCGCGAATCGGTATCCACACGACAAACATAGGAAAGCCGACAAAATTTCACTTAAATAGTGTGTGCCACTGTGTGTGCTGCACATTTTCATTATTAACTCGCCAAAATAAACAATGATGGCTGAACAAATGCGAAATTATATTGAACATGGAAACTTACACCAAACTACCGTCGTAACAACAACGAAAAGAAAGAATTTTGACAGCTGCGACCAGCGGAAACGTCAAAATTGAGTACTCAAAAAAGTAACTATACGCTTTGCAACACTGGCGCCCAGCGTTGCCACACAAAGCGGCAATAGTTACGTACATAACATGTACATCATCCGCATTCGAATAGGAATTGAAAAAATGATTTGGAATTGTTACATATATGATTTCTTTAATAAAAAATATAATAACAAAATGGTGATAATTCAAATTTATTTTACAAACAAAAACTCCAAATAATAATTTTCGTTTACTGTTGGTTGGAATGTTTCCTTACCAGTGTCGATCTTCACAAAATGTTTTATAATCACATTAATCACGCATTTTGTAAGAGCACCGTACCATGCATAACGGCCACACGCTTTGAGCACACTTGCTGTGTTGAGTTTGTGCTCTGAGAGCTTTTTAATTCTTGATTTTCTTCTTACTGATCGCTAACCGAAATCTGCCACTGGAGCCTAATTGGAAATTAGTCGCGCGTGAGAAGTCAACTGAAGCAGTTGTGCGTGGGAAGAGCTCAAAATAGTGTCCAGTTTCCAGTGTCTCAGGTTGATTGAATTTACTGCTTTGCATACATAACATACACACACACACATACACAAGATGATGAACAGCCTGAAGAAGTTGCCCATGCGTATGGTAAGTAAATGCCACGCCTCCAAAATGTCCCAGCTAATTTTGATTTTTGAATTCTTTTAATGTCTTTTTCATAGCTGGCCAATGCAGCACGTCAGCAAAACGCCGCCATGTCCTCGGCGACGGGCCTGCCTCCTCCGCTGACATACCTCACCGACGATGAGAAGATGATGAAGGAGACGGGTAAGTCCTGCAACTAGACTATACTATATATGAGTGTACACTAAGCCCTTGCCTCAAGTTAGTGTGTTTGCAGTCGGTGCACAAGATCAATTTTTTTTTTTTTTGTGTTCAATATCGGTTTTTGTTACGTAATTTAATCATCGCATGTTGTAGTATTTAATTAGTTATTATTATACATATTTAGTTACAGCTGCCTATTTGGCCAGCACAATTAATGCATTCTATTATTTTTTTAATTTGGTTCCTAAAAAAATGTGTATATGTGTGCGCTGATAAAAAACTGTACATGCTTTGTTTGACAATGCGGCGGGGTGGAGGACGTGTGAGGAGGAGGGCGTGTCCCAGATGGAAGATAAGCGCATTCTAGTTATGATTGTGGAAAAATTGAATGAAAAGCGAATTTTCAGCCGTACATATATATAATTTTACATATGACGTATGGCTTGTACATACATATGCGTTAATATAAATATGCATATGTCCTGTATGTATGGCATACATACATATGTATATATGCCATATATATCCGTTTATATAAATATGTATATGTATTTATGAATATATATACATACGTATTTTTTTGCAACCTTAGCGTTTTATATGGCGTTTTCGGGCAATTATTTAAATTGATCAATTTACTCATTGAAGCCGGTCAAATTATATAATTTTTGACTGTTAAATGCGCTTTCAAGTTCTGTTTAGCTAAAGGTGCGTGATTCAAGGATAACTGTATCCTTGCATAACAATTTGCTTATGCGCAGCTTTTATCCATAGCTAAACGTGGCAAGCCGCCTTAAATAAGTTTTTATCATGAATTAATTGAATTTAACTTATTTTTTATTTATTATAAATTCATATTCACTTTGCTGCCAACGTGGCATTTTTTAGATGTATTTATTTTGTTTTTTATATAATTCAAGATTTATACACATTTCAAACAAGTGAAGCCAACAAACAATATTTGCATTTCAATTTTCACTTTTTTCTATTTCTACAATTGCGACGCGGCTAAAAAACAAAAAACAATAAACATAACACCGCAGTGAGGGGTATGTGTGTGTGAGTGTGTGTGTATGTTTGCTAAAAATAGTTGCGTCGCAGCCGCTTTAACAGCATTTGCTTTTGACAGCGTAGCTGGCTGGACGTCGCTGGCGCAGCGCGTTAAAGTGCTGCCTTTAATGTTGTATGAAGCTCGAGTTGGCTGAAGAGTCGCATGTTCGAGTGTAGGCGAATGAAAGAAGAATGAGAGAGATAGGAAAGAAGATAAGAGCGTGGGGTTTTTAAGGATCATTTCTCTTCCTAATGTGTTTCTATTTATTTCCCTTTGTAGTTTCGGAGTTTTTTCACAAGTCAGTCAGCTGTTCAGTTGTAATTTAAATGAACTCCACAGCGTTACACTTGTGATAGAGAAAATAATGCGGCTGTGCCACGCCTCCGCCCATTGTGTCCACTGTTCTAGTGGCACGCGGGCAATGGATGTGCGAGGTACTTGGTCGCGTAATTCGCCTAGAGAGTTGAATCGGTGGAGGAGGGAGGTAAAAGTCCTGAAATATACCGCTGATTCCTAGTTGGAGAATTGACATATATAAATATTTATTTTTCCATAGATAACAAATTTAATTATGTATTAATTGCATTAGGCGGGCGAGGTGGTTCAAGGTGCGACCTGTTGCATGATCTGATGTATATACTATATACATATACTTATCAAAATGTTGCGTAACAACTACAGCATGCAAAGTGCTCCAGTGTTTGCGGTAAACCAGTTTCAGGAAAACACCTTGGGAAATTTGACAATAAAATGAAAAATAAAAAAAATGCGTAAGAGCTTTAGAACAGTTTATCGGTACAGTTGCCTCCGAACAATAATTATATATATACATACATACTTGATAAAATGTTAGCTAAATACGCAATTAAAACTAAACTAACTTAATTAACACCAACTTAGGGCAAGGACAGCGTCAGGACAACAGCTGTCAGCTAGTGCATGCCTCTTAGCTAGTTAGTTTGCAATTACTATAAAAGATTTATAAATTCAATTAATTATTCAAGCTTTCCAACTATGGCAAAAAATTAGCATTAGTTAGCAAAGTGGGCGTGTGCATGGTGTCCCCAGTATTTGCTGGCTTTCCGAGCAAAACAGCGCGTCAAGAAAAATGTCTCAGAGATACCAATAAAAAACAATCAAAATGTTCAATACATACGTATGTACATGTATAATAGATGTATTTATGTGTGTAGGCGCAGGCAGAGCTATCGGAAGAGAGCGGCACGTTGAGAGAGCGCCACACGAGTTGAGAATCAGCGGCATTATTGATAAAGCGGACACACGCGTAGGCACGCACACAGCAATAAAACAAGCTCACACACACACAAACATACACACACACACACACAGCAGCACTCAAATAGAAGCGTTATGGGGGGAACCAGTTTATTTTAACGACTTTTAAAGCTTGTTAGAAAGCTTCCTTAACGGAACATAAATAAAACACAAAGCTTTTTTTTGAAGCTCACCGATCTTATTAATAGCTGTGCGCTTTTTTGGACTCAGACTATAAAAGCTCGCAAAATATTTACTGAAAGCTTTTGTGGAAAAGTTTTATCTTTGCTTATCTTCCATTGAGTAATTGAGTAAAAGAACTAGAGTCAATAAATTTACGAAGAGCTTTTATGGCCGTTATATATTTATTTGATGGATCTTTGGATTGTTGCATTCGTTTCCAGTTGCCAAATTGGCTCAGGATCAAATCCTGCCGTTGGTCAAGAAAATGGACTTTGAGCACAAATTCGATCCGTCCGTGGTGAAGGCCGTCTTCGACAATGGCCTGATGGGCATTGAAATTGACACGGAGCTGGGCGGCAGCGGCTGCAATTTCATGACCAACATCATCGTGGTCGAGGAGCTGTCCAAGATCGATCCAGCGGTGGCGGCTTTCGTTGACATTCACAACACATTGGTCAACTCGCTGATGATCAAGTTTGGCAATGCGGAACAGAAGGCAAAGTATTTGCCCAAACTGGCCCAGGAATATGCTGGCAGCTTTGCGCTGACGGAGCCGGGCGCAGGCTCCGACGCCTTCTCCCTCAAGACTGTGGCCAAGAAGGATGGCTCTCACTATGTGTTAAATGGCACCAAGATGTGGATCTCCAACTCAGATGTCGCTGGTGTTTTCCTGGTCTTTGCCAATGCCAAGCCCGAGGATGTTAGTATAGCTGATCATATCTTTATACTTATAATTAATCAATCTCAATCCTATATTTTGTAGGGCTATCGTGGCATTACCACCTTCATTGTGGATCGCGAAACTCCCGGTCTGATTGTGAACAAGCCCGAGGATAAGCTGGGCATTCGCGCCTCTGGCACCTGCATGCTCACCTTCGACAATGTGCGCGTACCCGAGGAGAATATCCTGGGCACCTTCGGACATGGTTACAAGTATGCCGCTGGCTTCCTGAACGAGGGCCGCATCGGCATTGGCGCCCAGATGGTGGGCCTGGCCCAGGGCACCTTTGATGCCACCATTCCGTACCTGCTGGAGCGCAAACAGTTCGGTGATGCCATCTACAACTTCCAGTCCATGCAGCATCAGATCGCCACAATTGCCACAGAGATCGAGGCGGCTCGCCTGCTCACCTACAATGCGGCGCGCCTGCAGGAGGCTGGTGTTCCCTTCCTGAAGGAGGCGGCCATGGCCAAGTTCTACGCCTCGGAGGTGGCCCAGCGTGCGGCCACCAAGTGCATTGACTGGATGGGCGGTGTCGGCTTCACGCGCGACTTCCCCCAGGAGAAATACTATCGTGATGCCAAGATCGGTGCCATCTATGAGGGAACCACCAACATGCAGTTGAGCACCATTGCCAAGTGCGTCAAGAAGGAGTACTCGGGTTAACCCAAATAATCTACCCCAAACCCTAAATCCCTAAGTCTACATATATAAAGCTGAGATATCGTACGTCAGATACGTCAAGTGCATTTAGCTGGGCTGGTTAATCGTTTCTATCGATCGTTGCCAACGCATTTACATCAATTTTTTTTTCTTTGTTAACTTGTATTAAATACAATTTAATTGTACAAAACAAAAAAAATAGGAAGAGCATTCACTAATTTAATTCGCATGTCCGTCGGTTGTGGTAAATGCAGCCAGCAGCACATTGATCACAGTGATAAGAAAAACGCCCATTACAAGGACCTCATTGGTTCGCATGTATCGTCGACTCTGGCAGCGTTTCAGGCGGCGCTGTTAATGGAATCCCGAGAGTATTAGCTGAATCAACAATATATATATAACCCATTGCCATACCTTAAAGATCAGTGCAATGCCCACTAGCACCTGTAGCACCAGCGAGAGTATGACCAGCACCAGACTGCAGTAGAACGTGGACGCCTCATGATTGTAGGTGATCAGAAAACGCAGCTGATTTGCATTTGCCGAGAGCAGGGCAATGTCCATGAGACCTGTAAGTACAAGAAGTCTAAATAAGTATTTTCGATTTCATCCAAAAGACAGCTGGGTATACGGATTTCTTTAAGTTGTTCATCCAAGCCCAGAAGAGCTTAAAAATGAACTTGAAGTTTTTAGTTATGGTTCTTACATCAAAATTGAAAGTTTGAAAGTCAGACTTTAAACTTATTCTTTAAAAAATAAACTTTCCACCATTTTCCGCTGCTATTCCATTGGCAAATGCGTATTTCGTAATTAGAATTTGAGGTTAGGTTAGATTTAGTTAGTTGATTGGGCATATTAAAATGTAAGTTTTTAGTTTAAGGCTCGTACATCAATAGTGAAAGCTTAAAAGTCAGCGTTGACCATTTAAAAGAGAAAAAAAACATTCCCACAATTTTCCGCTGTTATTTCACTAGGTAATGCGTATTTCGTAGCCGAGATTTGAGGTTAGGTTAGATTGAGTAAGTTGATTGACAGCGTTGGGCATATGTGAACTGATACACAAGTTTTTTCAAGCGTTATATTTGTAATACCCAAACATGTTTCCGTTTTCCACTTACCCTCGGCTACATTTTTGCTAGTCGCATAGTTATGTCCACCGGATAATTCGCTTGGACTATTTTTGCCCTTGGCCTCGTCTGTGGCAGCCAAATCATTTAGCTGAGCCACCTGCTGATCGTCCATTTCCTGCTCTGGGCCACAGCATTGTCCTGCCACGGTGCTGGCAAAGCTGCCCTCGGAGCTGAGCGCATCCTCCACCTCGATAACCTCCTCGCTGACGCTGACCATTCGTGCAAATCTGGCTCAGCTGAGCGCCTTAATTGTCATAACTAGCTGAATGCGATTAACAACTGAAATTATATTTACACCATTCTGAAGCTTTTTAGTGCCATTTGTAAACATTCATTGAAAGTTGCGGTTGCCCCGTTCTGTGGTCACTTTTCACTGATAAAAAGAACCAGGCACGCCATTGACCCCACTGTACTGAATAGCTGCCAAGTCCCAGTCCGAAATGTGGGGTTCATGTCCCCGCAATGAATAAACAGCCCAACTGTATGCTACACTTTGTTGGGTCCTATAATTGGGCTATGTCAACACCTAGAGCTGAAGACACCCACACAAAAACGTTGCAGTACGTATCCGTGAGATACTTTGGCTGGGTTGACGCCAGGCTGGCTAGCAAATATTATTTGCAGCCTTGGGCTTGTTGGGGTTTAAGCCACATGGGTCTTAAAGGTTACAGTGTAATTTTAGTTTGTGGAATTTTAAATTTTAATAGGCCAGTATTAAATAAGGCCACTGATTTCATGAGCCAATATAACAGCTGTCAAAAAGGACACCCAAAGCGAAGCTAAATACAACTTCGCGTTAAAGGCCAAATCCGAGGGTTGCTCAATAAATACCTGCTTGCGTTATGCAACCCATTCATATTCTGTATATAGAGGGAAATTAAATTCAAAATGAGTATTCCGCACACGAACTGTGAATGATATATAAGAGGTCTATTAAATGGTATTACAGAAACCTGTTTAGAATTTGGCATTAAGTGAGCTGTTGCAATCAGATCTAAGTATTTTTACAAATGTTATTTTCAATTCATCTTTGAGGCAAATGTTTAAACATGACTTAAAGATATATATACAAATTGGTACAGATTGTAATCTTCGGAAATTGCAGTTTTCTAAAAATAACAATTGTTATTTTCTATTCATATTCAACTTATATTAAATATACCATCAAATGAATTTATTCGTAATTTATTTGCTGCAATTTGATTTTGAGCTATTTTGTTGAAACTCCCCTCGCTCTGCAGGAGCAAATGCGTCACGAGTAGCGGCTAACAGACGCAAATCCACCCCCATTGTTGGGTTTCCCATGCACTTGATATAACGCGTCCCTTTTCCCACCACGTTGCCTACTTTCGCTCAGACACCAGTCGATACTCCCACGCCACCATGGCTACCGCGGTGTATCTCTCCCTCTCTCTCTTCCTTTCATTCTGTTTCTCCCATTCTGCCAGCTCCAGCCTGACGCTGCACGTGTCGCGTATTTGCCTTTTAGCCGCTTGTCGGGCGGTTAAAATTGACTTGAAAATATTTGTTTTGACTGTTGTGGCTCTCAGCATTTTACGCGCGCTCTCTCTCTCTCTCTCTTGCTCTCTGTCATTGCTGCTCTGCCGGCTTCATTCATGCCGCTGTCGTTGCCCTCGCCGTCGTTGACGTCGTCGCCGACGTCGATGCACGCATGCCCCGCCGCTCCATTGGCCATTCGAGCCGAGCTAAACTGACTTTGGGTCTTGGCTTGAGGCTCGGTCGCGGTAGGTTTCTCTTGTTTGGCTTGCGGCTCTGCGTTTCAGTTCAGTTTAGTCGTTCGAAACGTTTGGTTTGTACTTTCTGGTTTCTAGTTCTGTATTTCGCTCCTCCCTGTGCCGCCTTCAGTAAGAAGTGCCGCCGTGAACCCGTGTAATACGTTAATTTCATTGATTTTCTTCAACATTTATTTATGGACATTTGGTTTTAAACTGCCAAATCCAGATATGCATTACAAAACTCAACTCTGATAACCAAACTGAAAGTTTCAGCCGTGGTAAGTTCCAATATATGAAACGCACGTGTTTCGCCCATTCCATTTACTGAAAAATCAATGCTCCCAAGCCGCATTGCAGTTGCCAAAAAAACAGCACACTAAAATGTAACAATACAAGAGACCAAAGGCCTTTGAAACTGCCTTGACCTCACAATCAACGAGCACGAGACCCTTTTTTATTGCCGACTCTCTCCTGATTGGTTTGCTCTTGCTCTTGCTCTTGCTCTTTTTTTTTGTACCGTGGAACAACCGGCTCCGTTTGACCCGGCACAACTTCAGCATAGGTAATCAATATGGGCTGTCAGCAAAGTTCCATTGCATAATTCTTCAGGTCTAGACACTGTGACAACAATGGGTCCGTTCTTTGCTCGAGTGCATAATCTCATTATAAAAAGTGCAAAGTTTCAGTTTCACGCTGATAAAGCCAGCTATGCAATCGGTCTATATACAAGTATGTTTCATATATAACATAGTATAAGTATGCACTTATCAGCTCTGTCGTTGGGATGTGCCAGACGCGGTTAGAGGAGACCATTTGCTGTGCTTGAAGGGACAAACATGTAAATCGCGTCAGCTCAAGGCACATTTTATTCAGATAGTTCCATTTCAGTTCCAGACTTTCCAGAACGTAACTAGATCTTAACTATTCTATTAGTACCTACATATCTTATGAGCTGCTATTAATAGCTGGAAAATAAATGCATTGTAATAAAGAATCTAGAGAATCTCAAAACAACTTTACCTTAGTAGCATTTGCATCTGATCGTAAGTTGATTTCATTGACATCCTACTGCATAAATTATAAATGAGCTTGTTGTTTTCCGGAAAAACCTTTCCAACATGTTAGCTGGGAATTTCGCAAAACCGGCTTAACAATTTATCTAGTTACATAAATCTAATTTATTTAGAACTCAATACTTTTTATAGTATCTACACGTATTTTGTAATCTCTATCTACTATAGTATATAATATTAGATTAAATGTTTATTGATATTAGATTTTTTTAAAGGGTATTCGGTAGTTCCAGCATATGTCGAGTCAGGGCATTATAATAATGGGCAATATACAAATTGTTGGCATTTCCACAATATATATTAATAAAAATACTTTCTGATTTAAAGTAAACAAAGATACACCAAAAACATTCGGGAAAATTTGAGATTTTTGAGATTTCTCTGATTGAAAAACGTTATACAAACAGACTTAAAATAAGACACAGAGACTTAAATAAATAAATTTCTTAAAACACGGAAGACTTTCAAGTAAAAGCTTACACAAAATTATGAAAGATTAACATTCCAGTTTCATAGACTAGGCACATTTAGTATATGGTATTGGGGTAGTTAGAGCATCTACACTTCGACTAAGTACTTAATAACAGCTGCGTACATAACATTTAGCAGATAAAGGCAATATCAGCATGTATTTTTATTCAAAGTTATCTCATATGTCTAACCTATTTGCTTCGGAGAGCAACAGCTGCAGTCGGAGAAGAAACTTTGAACAAACATAAACAGAGATATAGTGAAACGGCCGTGACTTTTCAATTCGAATATATTTGTTATACTATTTGTTCTAGAAGCTGAGCTTTATTGATAATATTCAATAATTCATATAGCTTCGTACGCTATTCAAAATCCGAGCACAGGTTAATTGCCATCTAAAAACGATTGGATTAATGTACTTTCCCATATATTATAGTAATCGTAGACAATATAATTATTAGGCTGAGCGTTTTTTAATCGCTTGTTATTGTAATAATGGCAATTATTAATTGTGGCATATATCTATTTGGGCGGAAAATTGACAACTTATGCTGGACATTTGTTTTTCTGTTATGGTTCGTCGGGGCTTAAAATTTGTATATAATTTAATTTAAAATTGTATATGTACACACATTTATATATAAATAATTTTAGCTGACGTATGCATTTTGTATTGATTTATAATTTCGTTTTCATTGCAGGCAAAGTTTTGTTGGCAATCATTAAGCTAAACACGTAACGTACACTCAGGTATAACTAGGAACTACAAACACAATTACAACAAAACAACAACAATAACAACAACAACAACAATAATGACGCCAGAGAAATCGGTCTTAGCCTATATCAATCACCTCATAGTCAGCAATTTTTCATATTTCTGTAAGTATAACAAGTCCCGAGTTTCAGATAGGCTTAAGAATACACAATACGAGATTGGGATTTGATAAGGGACCAAAGATATCATCTCAGATATCGAAATATATCCAAAAGAATTGTAGTATTTTAATATCCAGGTTTTCTGCACACTAACACGTCTAAATTTCATATTCTATCTTTTTATAAAAAAATGTGAATTACACTTTTTGCAATAATTTAACAAATGGCCTTTTGCAGGGGACGAAATCGATGGGTATCTCTATTATTTTGGCGGTACATTGGGCACGCTGACCTTGACCAGCGTTGCGGCCAGTATTGCCTACTTTCTGGTAACGCGACCAATACCGGACAAACCATTAGTGCCTCTGGAAAATCAATCCCCATTGCTGGAGGTAAGCATGCTGCACCACCTTTATGCAGTTTATTTATTTATTTTTTTTGCTCGATTACCCGCTTGCCATTGCGGCCATTACATCATCAATTTGTCAATTTGTTTACCTTAAGTTTTCTATTATGGTACCCTGTTGCCACAACAGATGAGGTTGGTCAAATAACTGTGAGAGTATATGACTATTTATAAGAGTTGAGGATTTCAAGACGAAAAAGCTGTTATCGATAAAAACTGACTAGAATTCGATAGAAATGTGAAATAGAAAGAAAATCCTGAGAAAATTCATACATGAATCGTATTTAGGTATTTACATTTACAAACGATCCTTATAAGTATATCTATACAGAGTATCTGCTAGTCGAGCACTCTTGACTATATATCATTCTGCCTAATTGCTTTTGTTCTTGCTTTTCTGTGTGTTGAGGTAAAACAGAAGTCTTTGGTCGGCCTTTGATGTGCACATGTCTCTGCTTCTAGTTCGTTTCTGTTGTCGTCACATGATGTTTCACTTGATTTTCGCATTGTGAGCCATTTTTTGGCTCTATTCTGGTTTCTAGTCTATTTTTGCCATGACGCGACTGCTACCGTGGTGCAAATATTCAAATCCCACGCTCCAATTGTCGTCCCATACTAATGCCACTTGCCAAAATGTGCAGCATTCGTGTTTCGTTGACGTTGTCGCTGCTATTCTTGCTAATAATTTATCAAGTGCCGTGGCATAAATCATGTCATGGCTCAATTGGCATAGTCTTTTGCCTTAATTAGACGGCTGAAGCTCAATTGCTGCTAATTCGATAATAGTTCGATATATGCAAATTGTTGTAAACATTTGGCAAATGCATTTATTGACACTGCCGACAATTGTTAACTTTTGACCGTGTGCAAGTTCATTTCTCTTTTGTTTATTTCTCTGTAAACAAACAATATCCGCACACATATTGACATGTAAAACAAACAAATCATCCACACGAGCAATAAGCACACAACAATGGCGCGAAATTCCCTAAAACAATGTATATCGATAACTTATAAGCAACGAATACCGTTACTGCAGCCACACAAAGTATATTCCGACTAGGTGGCAACACCGCGCAATTAACGAATGATAACGAACAAAGTGCACACACACACACACACACGCAATACAATAAGGAAATGTGCACGTAATATAATTATGCACATATTTACAGCCGAGTGACAGGACAGGGACAACCTGTCTGCCGATGCAACGGTAAATTCTAGCACCCATTTGGCACATTCTCATTTAAAATGTCGTGTGAATTACGAACGCGTAAATGCAAAATGCAAATTGGGTTGCTTATTAAATATCAAATAAATCACATATGTCAATTGATTTTAAACGGGTTATTAATTTTAAGTGTGCATAATGAAGTGAAACGCAAACAATTCAGTTCAAATAATAATTTGCTTTTGGAAATTTGACAATTATCTTGAATATATGAGGTTAGAATTCAATTTGTGAGGTTAGAATTCGAGATGTGAGGTTAAAAGCGAGTTGGTTAACGAGATTAAAACTAACGAGATTAACATGAATTCTTTTAGAAGAATATTTAGACGCCACATGGAACCTAATTCATTTATTAAAGGAAAACTGTAAACAAATGCTTTTATGTTTATTTAAGTTTAAAATTGGAATCAACACCTTGCTCCTATTATTAATCATAAATCATATTGCTCGCACATCAAAGGGCATTGCGCCGCCACCTCCAAATCGAATTCCCTGACACAGACACAGACAACACAGCAACACGTTAACATAATCCCCCCCCCCCCTTCGCCCCGCCACGCCGATCTGATCCACCTACCCCAACGACGACGTCACATGCCAGCCCCTGTGATCGCAGATCGCGTGCACATAACACCAGAGAATCGCAGGCGGGAAGAGGCAGACAGACATCTTGATCAGGCCAAGAAGCTGGCATAATAATGAGAAGACAAGCTATATGGATTCGTATATAATCGTCGTATTCAGCTGCACAACTATGCGAGCAAAAACCGTTTAATATGAAAACTATAAACGAATTAAATTCCTAGACACCCTTCCTCCCCCCGCAGCCCGAAAACCATCTCCGAAATAGCCGACGATTTGATATAAAACACTCAGCCGTTCTCTCGGCAGGCAAATTGTTGAAAATCTTTTGCCAAAATCATTTTTAGCCACGAGATTTGCTGTTCAGTTCGAAATTCAGCATCGTGTCGTCAAGATCTGCGTTTGCCGCGTTTGTCCTCGAAAGAAAAGCAGCCAAGAACAAAAAATATATAAAATAGAATTTCGTCCGCTAACACAAAAAGCAACATGTACATGTATCGTATATATATGTATAAGTCAACGCAATATACTTATTTTTTTTTGTATATAAATAATAGCTCGCCTATACTAAATATTAAATAAAGCGAACGCTCTGACAATTCGCAACAAATTGACAAAAATACGGTCGTTTAATCATTACGTAAAACACGGGCCAAAAAAAAATTGAAATCATAAAAAAAAAAATAGAGAGCGAAAATAACATATTTAAATGTCGAATGACCATTTGTCAAAGTGTCAAAGTGCCGATGTCTTCGCTCTATTGCCTGGGCATGTAATCCCGAACCCGCACCCGAACCCGCACCCGAACCCGAATCCCTCAAGTTCAAGATCGCGCCCGTGTTTTTAGCTATATGGCCAAAGGCCACCGCCCAGTCGATCTATAAAGAATATAAAAAGAAAACTTATCGAAAGAAAGAAAGCAGAAAACATGCATAAAAATCAGCTTTAATCGTATCGTTGAAATTATTTTCGTTCTAATTCGTGTTGATATATGGTTTAATAATAATAAATTATCGCGCAGAGAAGTGTATATTTTGCAGGCAACTTGCGAATCGAACAGATGCAAAGGCAACTCTAGCTGTTTACCGCTAGGTGTTTACTAAATAACGGTGCTTGGGGGCGCGTTCGTAGCGCCCCAAATGCCGAAATAGCGAAATAATGGCATGTGCGTTTAATTGAAGCCTGGCAATAATACATTTTGGGCAAATGGGCAGAATCCATTAGAAATGTCTCATCATTTATGCATCAAGCCAGCAGCTGTTATTTGTTTGGAATACTCAAATGTTTTTTTTTTTTTAATAACTAGCAATGCCAACATGAGCATTACACAAAGAATTTCAGGAAATTCATATACTTTGTAGGGGCATTCGAGGGGTTTAAACAAAGTCTGACAGTTGCAAGCCAAAATACTTGTGTCTTACGGACGCTCAATCTTACTCAACTAGAAAACTGTCGGAAGACAGTAAAAAGCAAGACGAATTAAATTGAATATATTTTGAATTTTCGTAAAGATGCCATAAATAAAATAAAATATTTTAATAATTTCTTAAGATAATGCTCTAAAATTATGAAATTATGGACTTAAAACTGATATTATTAGAGATAAAAGAAAAGGCTCATACTATTCTAGAAAGTACATGTCAAACTTTGAACCCTAGCTCTTAAAACCTAAAAGATTTGCTCCGAAAACAGAATTTCGATACCGATTTTTATCGATTGCTTGGCAACGGGACAAGTTATCGATTTGCGGAAACAAACTCGTACTGCGCGGGGACTATGAGGACCTACGTCCAAAATTTTAAGTCTCTAGCTCTTATAGGCTCTGATATCGACATATTCATACATAAGAACATACGAACATACGAACATACGGACGGACAGACAAACGGACATGGCTGGATCGTCTAGGCTATTGATGCTGATCAAGAATATAGATACTTTATAGAGTCGGAGTTGCCTGTTGCATACATTAGCACAAAAACAATCTAGCCTTTTTGCCCATTTTCAATGGGTTATTATATTTATAGATATACACTAGTATATCGGGGCTACGAACCCAAAAAATAGTCGGCTATTCGGTTTAGGATTCAAATTAGTTCGCTGCCTTAAAGTTCTGTTCTTGAACCTGGAATTGGCTTGTATTATCTTCCAATTTCTAATGAGAAAAGTATATTTTAAGTTTACAATTGCCCGTTCTACTGAAAATATTGCAATCCGTAGATATTTTCATATGGAAGTTGCGGGCTACATGTAAGTTCGACCTCATCTAAAAAAAAATGTTTAGATATAGCCGATTTTTGGGATCCTATAAGGCTGAGTCTAGCTCAAATGTATTTTAAGGTGTTTTTTGTGCACCTCACGTGAAAAGAGGCTCTGTTCAGGGTAAAAATAAATCGAATCGGTTCAATATATATATAGAGAGAGTCTTAGCTGCGAACATTTTCGGTTTCGATCAAAAACAAATTGAATTCAAAAACAAATTGAATGCATGCACTTACGATCCATTCACAATTAGCCCGCACTAGCCATATAGTTTATGGCATTTTTATGGCATCTACAATTACCATAATTCAAATAACAAATCCCCATTGATATTACTCAATCTTCCAATGCCCCAAAGGCAGCCCAACGAGCCGCAATCGCCTTTCCCATGACTCAGGCCCCGTGCGCATAGGATCGTGCATATATGTATATATATATACATTTCTTTTTGTTTCTGTTTGAGTTGTGCAAAATATTTGACTATCTATTAAATAGTTGTTTTTTTTGCCTCTCTTTTTGTTGTGTGTTTTGCGTCTACTCGGCCGAAAGATAACAACAGAACAGCCCGACTATTTATAAACATTTGGGGCAGGCCAACCAAAAGTCGGCCGCCTCGTCGATATATCGACTGAGTCTGGGCGGGGTCGGCTGGGGATTGGGGATTGGGGATTGGGGCTATGGCCGGGTGAATATATTGCCTGCATTGGACAGTATTCAATAATTATTGAGAACAGAATTGATTTTTGCCAAATGCGAATTGACAGCGGGCGCCATAATTATAATTCGCCTTTGATCCAAAAAACAGATAACGAAAACTGAATGGTTTATAATTTTAGAAGCACCTGAGCTGGCTATAATTTAAATATACATATAAAAATAAATAAATAGAACGTAGAGAGAAAAACGCAAAAACCCAAAATTTGATTCGATTTGCAGTTATTTTGGAAAATGTGCATATTAATCGCGACAACGTCCGCTGAACTGAATGACCAATAAAAGTGACCTCTATCTCTCTGTGTGTTCAAACAAATTCGAGCATTAAAGTCAATTATAGCAATAAACCTGTGAATTATTGTGTTTAAATCTTAAACCCAAAAGAAACAATGTCTTGTTGCGGCCAAATAACCACCGTGCGCGTGCCCATCGAGCTAAACAATCAGAGCGATGTGCTCAAGGTAAACACACCTAGCAATTAAGATGCCCAAACCACTTCCACCACTCCCCCCTCCCACTTCCCACAAAAAATGAAGAAGAAGAAGAAGAAGAAAACCTAACCCTGCTTTCTTGAAGATTCGCGCCAAACTAATCAGAAACTATTTTTTGCTTCTTTTTATCTTTGCTTTAATTTTCCTTATTTTTTTATTTGATTTTTACACATATTTTGTTCGCCCTTCCCCACCCCTCCCCGCGGCCAGCTTAAATACGATCCACAGCTAGATACACAGCACAGGGTAGGCGTGGCATGCCCCTAGGGGTAGGCAGCCTTATTGTTAATATCATTCACAAATATCTATTCGCATCGAAACAAATCGATATCGTAGTCGAACTTAAAAAACCTAACGCATTATGATTATAGTTTTATAACCAACCCGATTTTGAAATACATAAAAAAAAATAAACAAAATATAAAAGTACCCTCCCCCCTCCCCTCTCACCACTTGGATCGATTTTGATTTCGATTTTCATGCATCAACACACATTTGCCATAATCCAAATATCTATTCACAGCTGTTCGCCATAAAGGAAGTGCTCGATTGGGATATACATAGTTTAAGTCGATCGCACTTTGCACCTACTATATCTGCGATTGACGTTCGTTTCACACTCATTCAAATTGGCGATTGATGGCCTTATGTTTTCTGCCTAAAATAAACCGTATATCATGCCAATTGAATTTGCAACATCAACTAGAATGGCTTTTGGCCTTTGTCCATCATTGCAAACAGATTTATTGGCTGGAAAAACCGAAAATCAATTTGTTTTTATGTCTGTCCGAAATTGTATTTGGCCGGCGACAAACAAGAATAAACAGAATATATACTTAATGTATTAAGTAAATTAATATTTGTTAGGGTAAAAGAGAAGAAAAGTTGTTTGTCTAAAGTAAAACAAAAACTAAACTCAAATCTAATCTTTGAAACAAATTGGGAACACTTTTAGGATAAATCAGAGTTTTTTTTAAAGTCCCACAATATTAATGAAAATATTTTAATATTCGAACTATTATTATTTTAAGATAATAAAATACTTAAAGTAAATTCCTTGCAAATATTTAACAAATCCAGTTTAAAGAGCAGGAATTTCGCCAAGAGTTAGACAAATTATTGAAAGGAATCTTTGAAGAATTAGAAACATTGATTACCAGGATAATTTCAATATTATTCTGGGCAGCAAAACCCAAAAACAAATTGTCCTTAGTTAAGTTTTTTGCCTCGAACCAAAGTCCTGCCTTAGGCAGTTCCCTGCGTGAACCTCGCTTTATACATTCATGAGATAGTCCTGTTTTATTTATTTAATTTAATGAAACAATGTCCATTTTTAATTAACAACTGCCCGTTCTACTGAAAATATTGCAAGCCTTAGATATTTTCATATAGAAATAGCTGGCAAATATGGTTAGAATAATCCGCTTCCCGAAGGCCTTGATCAGGCTGAATGTGCTTCAAAAGATATTCTTGAACCATAATGTGGTTCGATTCATGGATAACTGGTTTGATTTAGGGCTCGCTTTATGTTAATAAATGATTTAAATCTTGGGATCAGATAGGTTCGACTAAAATAGATGGGTTTGGAAAAGAAATTGAACTAAGCGCAAACAGAAAGCTATTCAAACAGTTTTTGGCAAAAAACATTTGGCAAAATAACCCAAATCATCATGTACTTATAATCCTAGAATAATACCACATTTATTTAATTATCGCCCTGGCCTAGTAAGATTATCATATTCTGTTTTCTGTACGCTCCGCCCGGCGAGAATCTCTTCAAGTCCTTCACTCATTTTGCATGCGACACGATTTGTGTTCTTTTTTTCCGTTTGTTTCCAACTGTTTGCAGGGTCCAGAACAAATACACGTCTCCAAGTTCTACAAGGAGTCGAAGAATGGTAAATTTGTTTCCTACATCACAGAGAATGTGCGCACGTTGTACCAAACGTTCCGCGAAGGCGCCTACGCCTCCAACAATGGTCCCTGCCTGGGCTGGCGCGAGACTCTCACGTCGCCCTATCAGGTTCGTCTCATATGCACTCCCATTGTCCACACTAGTTGGCTAATGATCTTTGATATCTTCCAGTGGATTAACTATGATGAGGCGCTGCTGCGCGCCAAGAACTTTGGCTCCGGGATGCTGGCATTGGGCGCACGGCCCAAGCAGCTGATCGGCATCTACTCACAGAACCGGCCGGAATGGATATTGTACGAGCAGGCATGCTACTCGTTCTCGCTGGTTGTGGTGCCGCTGTACGATACGCTCGGTCCGGATGCCTGTGCTTTTATCATACGCCAAACGGAAATGTCCATTATTATTGTCGAGGACGATGCGAAGGCGTCCATGCTGCTGGAGAAGGCGCCGCGCAGCCTGAAGATCATTGTTTCCATCAAGCCCATTCGCCAGACGACACTGGAGCGTGCGCGCAGTCGTGGCGTCCAGATCTTCTCCTTTATCGATGTGGAGAAACTCGGCGCCAAGGGCAATCATCCGGAGGTGCCGCCCACATCGGAGGATCTGTGCACGGTCTGCTATACATCTGGCACCACCGGCAATCCCAAGGGCGTAATGCTCACACATGGCAATGTCGTGGCCGGCGTCTGTGCGGTGATCCTCCAAATGGGTGATCATCGTATACGGGCCGGAGATGTGATGATCTCCTTTCTGCCGCTGGCGCACATGTTCGAGCGCTGCTGCGAGAATGGCATATACTATGTGGGCGGCTGTGTCGGGTTCTACTCCGGCGACATCAAGGAGCTGACCAACGATCTGAAGATGCTGAAGCCTACGGTCATGCCGGCTGTGCCGCGCCTGCTCAATCGGGTCTACGACAAGATACAGAACGATATATCCGCCTCGGGCCTGAAGCGCGGCCTCTTCAATATGGCACTCAAGGCCAAGGAGAAGGAGATCGCCCGCGGCGTGCTGCGCCGCAATGGCTGCTGGGACAAGCTGGTCTTCAAGAAGGTCCATCAGGCCTTTGGCGGCAATCTGCGCCTCATGGTCGTCGGCTCTGCGCCGCTGGCCGGCAACGTGCTGACCTTCATGCGCTGCGCTCTCGGCTGCCTGGTGCTGGAGGGATACGGTCAGACGGAATGCACGGGCGCCATAACGCTGACCGTGCAGGGCGATCATGTGCCCAATCATGTCGGTCCGCCCGTCTCCTGCAATGCCGTCAAGCTGGTCGATGTGCCCGAAATGGAGTACTTTGCCAATCAGAACACCGGCGAGGTCTGTGTGCGCGGCTCCAACGTGTTCCACGGGCAAGTAGCTAGTTATTCCAATTGTGGAATTCGATTTTAATAACTTGTTTGCACCTGCAGCTACTATAAGGATGCAGAGAAAACGGCCGAGGCCATCGATACCGAGGGCTGGCATCACACAGGCGACGTGGGCATGTGGCTGCCCAATGGAACACTACGCATCATCGATCGGCGCAAGCACATCTTCAAGCTCAGCCAGGGCGAGTATATAGTGCCAGAGAAGATCGAGAATATCTACACATTGAGCCAATATGTCAACCAAGTTTATGTCTATGGCGAAAGCTTAAAGGTGAGTCCAACAGGGGTAAGATCTGGCTAGGCTCGCTAATAAAAGATTAGATATCAACGTGAATGCAATCAAGAGACTAACAAAGTTTTAAGTTCCAATCTTATAAATCAAATCAATTAAAAACCATTTCTAACTCATCCAAATTGAACGGATTGCTTCGATAGTTTTACAAAATGATTACTGGACAGATGCAGACAGTTCAAATCCAATCTTTAATGGCTGAAAGTTCAATTTTCTAATCCAAAATACTTCAAGACTTCCCTTGCGAAGCACTTCATAGAAATTCAATCAAAAAATGCTTTACCAAAATAACTTTTTAAATTTCGAAAAAGTGGAAAATGGGTGAAAAACTGCAAGTTCGAAACAGCTGTAAAGAATGCTGATGAATTAAAGTGAAAAATATTTAAAGTTATTTAAATTTAAATTAGATTAATGAAAATATAGTTTTGTTTATATCATATTATATTAAATTCGTATATGTAGAGCTGCATTATCGCTGTTGTTGTACCTGATGTCGATGTCCTTAAACAGTGGGCCACGGAAAACAATGTACGCGGCACATTATCCGTCCTGTGCAATAATAAGAATGTGAAGGAACTGATCATGAACGATATGCTCAACTGGGGAAAGCAAAGTGGACTAAAGTCATTCGAACAGGTGCTTAAGAATATATATATATAAACTCGATAGATAAATATTAAACATATACATTCATCGGAAATCAGGTCAAGGATATCTACATGCATCCCGATCCGTTTTCTGTACAAAACGGACTCCTGACGCCCACATTCAAGGCCAAGCGGCCGCAATTGAAGAGCTATTTCAAGCCCCAACTGGAAGATATGTATAAACATTTGGATTAAAGCAATAAACAATAAACAAGAAAGTTAACCAAGAGCAACGAACAAATTAAACAGCATAACTTTATGCCTAAACTGAACAGAACAAAGATTAACAAACAATACAATATTTTGAATACCAAACAATAAGAAATGAATAACAACAATATTTATTAAAGTATTGTCGTTGATTTTAAAACGAACATCAGTCAAATTTTCTAAAGTTCCGTCAATTCTTAGCATGTAAGAAGATATATGCATATATATATCACGATGATACAGATACAGATTCTTAACTGACAAACCACTTTTGGCAACAGCATTTTTCTATATAATTTAATCAGCTCTTATCAAAAAAAATAACAATGTTAACTATTTCCTAATACCTATGGTTCTTTTTTTAGAATGCGAAAATGTTTCATATTTAGCAAGAAATGCGTAGTCTGAACGAAAACATATACATAATTAACATATTGAGACAAATTAAAAGAAAAAAAAAACCAAAGCTTTAATTACCTAACACTCGTATACTACACTCAGCGTTAGTTAAAAAATAATTAAAAACGATTTTTAATAATTATATACTATGATAAATTATACAAAAAATACAAGAAAACTAATACGTTAGGTAACTTAACATACACGCTTTAAGAAAGGAAAAGAAAATTAAAAGTGAATTTCCAACTAAAAACAAATTTAGCGCAACTACTGATAATAAGCAGAATATATTTAAATCAATACTACTTGGACTGCACTGTCTGCCTTACAATTGATAGAAACCCGTAGTTGGACACAAAATCCAAAAAGTAAATCTCTATAAATATGCTCTAAACATAAACCAAACCTTATGCTAATAATAATATTTTCATTACTTAGGTAAAAGAAAAAAAAACTAAAGTACGCGAATTTATGCAATGAATTCAAGTTATAATTTTAAAATAAAGTAAACAAATAACAGCCAAGACTTAAATCCGTAACGTTTTTGTGACAGCGTTGCCAGATGACAAAATCAATGTTGGGCAACGCAGACTGGAAAGTAACGGGAAAATACACACAACACCTTGCCTTAAAAATGGTTCGTACAGTTTTTATTAAATCGAACAAAAATTATGTAGCTTGCATTCAATACATTTATTTATTATATTTATCGAGTTCGAATCGTGGCGAGAGGCTCTTGGAATGCAAAATCTTTTCAGACTCGGAGCTTTTTGCTTCCTCTTTTTTGTTAATTTTAATTGCTAATTAATTTGTCTGTTGTTGCCTGCTAGATTGGTATTAAGCTTAGCTAATTCAGTATTTACCAAGTATGAAGGACATTAGTCTTAAATTTACTAAACAAAGGGTTGACAGCGATCACAGCTCGCCGTGCACGTACTCGGGTGGCGGCGGTTCTGTTATGACAACCACATGCTCCTCCTCGTCATCTTCAGCATTATCCCTGTTGCTGCCGATATTGTGATTCTCATGATCCTCGATGCGCGCCAATAGTGCCTTCAGCTCCGCATCGTAATCCTTCCACTCGGGCACAATGCGCTGAGCTGCCGTTAGTTTGGCCTCCTTGGTCTGCGGATTGTTGCACAGATCAATTACCTTGGCGCTCTTGAAGGAGCTATCACTGCACCAGGTCTGACACCAAAGCCACTCATCCGGCAGCGACTTAATGGCCACCTGATGTATCATATTGTTGGGCAAATCCTGATCCAGATTGGACAAACTATTTGGATCTTGACTGAGCGCCTGATACTGTCCACGCAATCGATCACCGGCCGCTATCTTGCGGAAACGCCTCAAGTCCACCACATACAATGCAGAAATATGATAGCGCCTGCCCATTAGATGACTTCGCCAATAGCCCTGCTTCCAAAACCGAAAGCCTTCCATTTCCTTGCGCGAATCACAGAAGGGTGTATACGCATAGGGCGCACCGCCCAGATCTAAATCGTAGAGCTCCTTAATGTCGGTGCGCACAATCGCATCCGCATCCACGAATATAATCTTGCGCACATTGAGCGGAAAGAGCACATCCAGGAAGAGTATCTTATAGCCCCAAATGGTGCGCTGTTTCTCCGTCTGCTGGTGCAGCCAACGCGGCCATTTGTATTGCACTAGCTCATATTGGAAATTATACTCCTTTGCCATGTGCGGCAAAAAGTCCGTGAATTGTGGCGACAAATAGTTCTTGAGGAACCAGAACTTCACCGGCGACTTGGTGTGCTTCAGCAGGGATACCATCATAATGCGCAACAGACGCTCGTACAAATGTCCCGAGGCCACAGAGAATATGTTGATGGTTTCCGCATCCTCATCCGTTCCGGCAGTGCCGCTGTTCCCACCAAAGCTGCTTGCAATGCTGTTCCAAATGCCCGACTGCGACGGCGCCGTGTCATCGGAGAGCAGCTCTGCGTGCTGCATGCCCGGCCGCTTGGATACGCGCAATTTGGTGACGTGGGAGCGCAGCGAGGTAATCAGTACCTGGACTGCGCCCGTCTGTTGCTGGTGCAACGTGTCGGGCCCCTCCGCATGGCTTATGGCATAAATATCTGTGGATTTGCCATCGCGCAGACGCAATGTCCATGCGCCAGGATTTGCCTTCAACTGGAAGTAACCCAAATTGGCCATCACAATGGTGTCCACCAGCGTGGGCTGCGATTTTGTGCCCAATACCAGCTGCAAGCCCCGCGGCGGCGCACCGCTAGCCGCATCAAAGCAATGACCCTCCAGCAGCAGATACTCCAAGTCGAATTCACTGTGCACTGGTCCACCAATGTCGCGCAGCTTAATATTGTCCAGATCGTAGACAGCACGCACCGCCTCCACCAGCCAGTTCTCGGGCACCTGCAGCTGCTGTGTCAGCAGCGGATTAGCGGGCAAGCCACTGAACTTCGCCAGCGGACCCTCGGCGCGTGCACCGTTCGCCTCGAACTGCACCTCAGATTCGATGACATAGCGGTAGAAATTCTTGACAGGCATATCGCTGTGCTGCGCCACAGGAGTTAGATACAAATGGAGCTGACAGTTGAGCGTTTGCCGCAATAATATTAGAATCGGTGTTAGTTTCTGCGCCGCTCTCGAGGCGGGATCAAGCACTGCGACAATATCAAAGTGGGGCTGACTCTGCTGCTTGGCAGGCAGCTTGACGACGGAGTGGTCCGTTTTCAGATCGCTGGGCAGCTTGAAGCGCGTCTTGGTTTGCCTGGGCAGCAGGCTAGCATAAAGCTTGAGCAGTGTGTCGCTGTTAAAATCGCTGTCCACCTCAGTGGCGGATTCCTTGAGCACCTCGCGCACCTTGTCGCCGTACTGCAAGTCGCTGTATCTCGCCAGCAGCGCAAAGTCGGCGCTATCGAAGCTCTCGGCGGCGCTGAGCGGGCCATAGAGACGCCCATTGCCAATCACCAGGCGCTGCGATTTGGCCACTCCCAGCACGCGTTGTGCATAGACGCGCAGCATTTTCAGATGCAGTTCCGTGCTGCCCAGTACGTCCTCCAGCTGTTTGGGTATATCCTCTATGCGCTGCTTCTTTTGACGCAGCCACTTGAGCACCTGGTCCGTAGCCTTCGCTGGCTCCAGCGAGTGCATTGCCGCCCAGGCCAAGCGATTGAGACTGCGCTTATCGCTCACACCCTCCGTGTTGGGAATAAATGCCAGACGCACGCTCTCACTGCTACGTACATAGTCCAAGGCGTGAGTGAGCAGCTCGCAGCCTTCAGGCGTCTCCAAGTCGGCGAAGACCCAAATTGTCAGGAACTGCAGCGAGGCGCGTCCAATGCGCTCAGTGCTCTGCTTGCCGCCAAAGTATTTCAGATTTGCCATCAACGTGGCGGTCATGTCACGATTCGAGAGCTTATTCAGCGCTGCAGCATTGCCGAGCTGTTTGGCGGGCATGCCGTTTATGTCCAAGTACTTGACATCCTCCTGGCTAAGTATGCGTTGATTGAGACGCGGCATCACATGCGGCTGATTCATCAGGTAATTGATCATCTCATCGTTGTCGGTCAGTTCGCCACGGTAAACAGACTTCTGCAGCGCCGTTGTCTGGCTCATGATTTCCGTGAAAATTGCCTCCTCAAAGTCGCTGTCTGCACTGATGATATTGCTCGGCATTGGCGCGCCGTTGAGCAGCGCCTGCGGCTGACGCACTGCGCCAAAGCCCAAACGTTGCACAAATTCGGCGGCCAGTTGTCGTCCGTAATCGTAATCGGATTCCTCGCCGAGCAATTCCTTGGCTTTTGTACTGCTCAGCGAGCTGAATTCCTTCATGAGCTGCTTGACAATGTGCTGCTTGGTGACGGTTTCGGTTTCGCCCACCGCCGCATAAATGTCCGTGAGAAAACTGAGTGCGGCGCGTGCATCCTTTTGCTGGCTCACATAGTTAAAGGCGCACGAAATGGCCACATAATCAGCAGCCGTTGCATCCTCCACAGCCCTAGCATCAAATACAAGGCCTAGGCGTATTGGCGCCTGGTGTATAACAAAGGACTCAGCCAATTTGATGACGCTGCGCGCCTCTGGCTGCAGTGGATCCACAACCAGCACCAGATTAAACACATTCTTGCGTATGTTGCGCAACATGCCGGGAAAAGTGGGACGCAGCAAATCCATAACCGATGGCGGCCAGCGTCTGTACTGGGCATCTTGTTCAATATCATTGATCCACTGGACCGCTGTATCCCTGATATCAATCGCAAACTCACGCTTGTTGGCACTATTTAAATCCAGGGCTAGCAACGCGCTGGCCAAGTGGCCATGCACATTGTTGCCGTGCAGACTCTCCAGGACGCGTATCTCGGAGCGCAGCGTCTCCACCACCGTGTATAGGTCCATGGTGTCCGCATCAAAGAACAGACCATTAATAAACAATGCGCCGTCGGGCGGTGCCACGTTCAAACTGCGTCCTAGAGATTCGGAATTGTGCTTAATCTCAGCTCGCAGTTCATCGGAAACTTTGTGGGCGAGCAGAGTGCGCGCCAGCATGGGGAAATTATGCGCCGTATACTGGAGTAACTGCAGCGCCTCATCACCCTGTATCTCAGCTATGGCTGCGGCTGCCTGTAGACCCAAATCCTGGAACTCCCAAGCCTTGAGCTGAGCAATCTCATCGTTGCCCTGCAGCAGACGCTGTCGCAGCTGATCCAAAGCACGCTTCAGCGTTGGATACTTGGATTTCAGCAGTTTGAAGTCAAAGCCTTGTACATCCGTTTCATTGGTTGATTCTTCAGCTGTGGCAGAGCTACCGTTGCCAGCCTCCGGCTTGGGTGCATCATCCTGACTCTTGTACTCGGTAGACTTTAAATGTAACTCTACGCCGTAGCCGGACAAGCGCACGGGCCGTCCACTTCGCTCGGCTAGCTGATGGCGTAACAGGTAACGCACTTTTCCCGCATTCGCTGCATTTTCCAGCAGCTTGTGATATGGACGAAATGCGGCACTGCCCAGATCTCCATACAGCACCACGGTACGCGTATTGTTCTCACTGCCGGGATACACGTGATCGAAGCTGTAGCTGCCAACCTCTGCATCCAAGCTGCTTGCATCATGCGACAGCTTCAGTTTTTGCTCCAGCTCCGCATAGGTGCAGGCGAGCTCCGTGCCCACTTGGGCGTATATGGCTCCTTGACAAGCGCCTGCGGCTCGCAACTCGTCGGCCAGTTGAAAGTGCGTCTGTATGCGCGGAGTTAAGCTGTGCATGGCGACGACCAGTTTCAGGAGTGGCAGCTGTGGCACACTCAAATGCGAACGTACAAGCTGTAAGGCGGCATTGTACTGTTTTGACTCCGTATCTGCAAGGGTATACTCTTCATTAGAAATTAATACGTTACGAATAGGCAGTATTTAAAATACTTTATGTATTTTGCAATACTTTTCTTGTTTGGACTGGTCACTTAATTGTTTACACATTGACCACCTACCGTAATCGTTGAGCGCCGTGTCCAATGCCGTTACAGCCTTCACGTAGTCCCAGAAAAGACCTGCCTGCTCATCCGCCAAATACTCGGCAATTTCTAAATATAGTGGAGTTTGCGTCCATTTGGCATTAATTAATGTGGTAATTGGATAACTTTGACTGGACTCTGCAGCCCCCACCGAGACAGAAGCAGGCGACAATATCGTCAATGTCCCCGTCGTCAGCAGCAACACACACACAAGACGTAACATTTTAGTTGTGCGTATATGTATAACTTTTTTTGTTACGTGCACATGACGCACTAATAACAAGTTATTGTGGAATTAAAAGCACTATTTGCAATATTATTTCACTTTAGCTTTTGTGCTCCACTAGTTGTTAATTAAATTTAAGGCGAAAACTGATGTGGCGTTTTGCCGGCCGAAAAAGCGTTACCACCCTGTTACAAATGTGTGATTCTGGTCTGAACCATTTGGTATTTCAGCTCCTTGATAGGTTATCCTTGTATTGATTATCAGAACCAAATGCCAATTTCATGATGGTTCATTAAATTTAATGTGTTTTCAGAAAATCATATTACTTTAATGAAATGAAATTAAATCAATTAACACGCATGTTTTGCGATTAAACTAAAATTCTCCAGAGTGACCAAATATGTGTACTAATTACAACGTTGCCAGCCTGTTAGTCACATCAGCTGTTCCTGCTGCATTGTTTATAAACTAATGCGCGCCCAAATTGCAATTTTGCAAAGAAGGAATGAAGTGCACACTGGAGGGAGGCAATGCGCGCAGTAAGTAATACGGATATTCTCAGGATATTTTTTTAATATAACTCCCAATATTTTCTTAGTCATTGCCAAAGCCATACAATCGCTGTCCAAAGTGGGCAAAGAGCTATTCATCGAAGCAGATATACATGGACTTCGCATGCGCTCCATCAATCCCACACAGTCCGCAGTGGCCAGCATATGCTTCAACCGCTGCATGTTCGATACATTTCAACTGCCACCCAGTGGCGATTGCTGTTGTAAAATAGCCATGAAGCCATGCCTTGGTGTATTTCGCAATATGAAACAGGTGAGTTTTTGAGCAGAGGCTAACTATTTACCAGTGCAAATGAAATACTGCTTTTACAGGTTGAACACTGCGAGCTGAGCATCGTGTCTAATCGGACTAAGTTCCAAGTCAATCTTCGCTGCAAGCTGGAGACCATGAAGCAGGCGCTCATTGCCATTGTGGATGAACTAAATATTACTTCGGATGTTCCCACAGATCAGAGTTCGAACATGTAAAGTCGTTTTTTATTACCTATTAATTTGTAATCATGTCATATATTATCATAGCATACGGGGCGATCATAAGTTGCTCATGGAAATTTCAAATAGCTTCAATTCTTCTGAAGAGGAACTAACACTTGAGGCTACACCAGACAGTCTATCCGCCAAGAACTACATTGAAGGCGCTCGTGTCAATGACAAGTTCATGCGATCGCAATTAAAACTGAAGCCAAGCGAATTCGAGCATTACCAGGTAGCCGAGGGCGCAGTCATTACATTTTGCATCAAGGAATTTCGCGCCTTTCTTCTTTTTGCTGAAGCACTGAACGCACAATTGACGCTGGAGTTTGAAGATGCGGGCAGTCCATTCTTTGTTAAGATAAACAAACACCGCGAAATTGAATGCTTGCTGATTTTATCAACTCTATCTCCCGATGATGTTAGCTTCTCGGAGGATTACCGACCGCGCGAAATAAGCATGTGTAATCTTACCAATGCAGCGCAAAAGCGAAAGAGCAGTGGACCTGGACAAGAACTTCAGCAGAAACGCCGTCTGGCTGAAGATACAACTCTCTCGGACGTAGACACGGCGCTGTTTCAGTTTCGCGAGCATCGACCTGAGCGGCCATCCGAGGCACCTTCTGTGCAACCAGCGCGCCTGCTGGCCGACGGTGATACCGTGGATCTGGTTGAAGAAGAAGCCGACGAGGAAGCGCTGTTGCTTGCAGTATCAGATGCTATGGAAGCAAGCCAGATACCGCCGCCTAGCAGCACAGAAGTGTGCTTCTACAATACAGAGGATGCGCCGCCCACACTAATTCCACCACAAGTGGAGGATAACGACGAGGAGGAGGAAGAAAGTATACCGCAGTCTCCGGAGCGGGAGCGCGAACAAAGAGTGCGCACAATATTCTCGCGCTGTTTTCAAAACACTTATGTTCCACGCGAGCCATCGCCCAATAGTCAAGTGTATGCGCCCAATTCGGATACGGAGGATTAGCCTAGTTTGTTCGTTTATTAATAAAAGGGTATGCATTTGCATTACTGCCTCAATTGCTTGGCTCCTTCAGATGGATAACCGGCAAAAAGCTGCTCGTTAACGCCGAAGCAGCGCGGATCTGTAGCTGTGCGGTATTTTTTTGTGCCTGCTGCAGCGCAGTGTGAGCTGATTGCAAGGAGACCTGGGATTTGATGAGCATTTGATCTGTGGTTAGCAGCTGCTTGGACGCGTTCACCACAAAGTTGCGTGTTAGGACAGTTAACGCCTTCCAAATCTCAATGTTGTTCTCGACTGAAGTTGAATCAAATGATTAGAATCAAATCTGTTAAAGCACCGAAAGGGTGGCACTTACTCAGTTTGCGTTGCAGCAGATTGTTACGATATATTGAGGCGGTGGCACTGGCGCTGCTTGGCTGCTCGTAGATGTCTTCGTCTTCTTCCTCGCTTGCCTCGCCAGAGACTTCGGCTGCGTATATCTGCAACGACTTTGTTATGACAGATTCTATATTTTATTTGTCTAATGTAAATGCCTTGTGTTTCTCCTGCTCCTCGTCCGATTCAGATGCTTCGCCACGCACTAAATCTGCCATAGTTTTGTTTATATTACTTTACAAGGGCCCCAACAACTAAAATACCTGTTGTTTATTGTGTCCATAAATCGATTTACAAATCGGCAAGCCGATATAAATATCGATTGCAGATCTGGACAATCGGCAGATTTCTTTTACCCTAGTAACTTTCCTTTGTTTTGTACAAAAACTTTTTGCAAAATTAACTTCATATTCATATATTTATATACATATAGTTACGTTTTTTCTGACCACATGCAGACCAAGCTCACTCATCAACTTACATTTATATCAAATGCTGATTAAGCCTACACTGCGAACATAAAAAATAACATATTTTGTAGACATAATTGAAAAATTTGCACTACATTTTTTATTTATGTTCAAAATATGTAATCTTTAACAGGATTATTCAAAGAATTTCTGCAGAGTTCCCAATTCGTACATTCGCTTAATGTCCGTGCCGCCGCCCACAAATTTGCCATTTATAAACACGCGGGGCACCTGTGAGAGCAAGAGTTGAAAATAACGATAAGAATTAATAAATTAAAATTATGATTCTTTTGTGGACTTGCCGTGCGGGCACCAGTCATTTCGCCCAGAACAGATTGAATTTCATTGCCATCTTTACGTCCATCCAGTTCTACTATCATTGCATTAACCTTCAGTTTTCGAAATGGCTGAAAATTTGTAAGATGATATATGAGCATATCCTTAACGACCGCTCGTTATCCTTACCTCCTTGGCCATTGTGCAATAGGGACAATAAGTTTTGCTAAATATTGCAACCTTATTTTTGGCAATTGTATCACGAACAAATTGAGCTTCAACGGTGTCCATGTTTACCAGAGGTTTTTTAGGTATGATGGGAAAATCCAAGAACGGAAAGGGAAACTTTTTTGATGCTGTTGATGAGGCGCGGAAGTGTAGCCTATTGATGGATTTATAACGGTTGCTACGAAAACTATGAATTTGGCGTCAGATGTGAATATGAAAAACTTTGTAATAACAACGCATTTCTACATGTCAATCGCATGTAGTTGCCAGATAACTCAGAGATGCAGAACTTACGATTTACATATAGCAGAGGACATGATTAATATATTTCAATATTTGTAGCATTTATATACACTATCAATTCTTAATATTTTATAGTTCCAAATTTGAACCACACCACATAAATATTTTTCAAGTTTATTTTCAAAGCAGTCCTGTAACGGTCTGGCATCACCTTTAAATTACACCACCGCTGTTAAATGACTTGGTAAAGCCGCTCGGCCTCTGCAATCTAAATTGTCGAGTTTTGTTGTAACTAATGTAACAATGTAAGTATAGGCAATTTCACAATTTAGCCGTCCGTGGATTAAATGTTATATTAATATAATTTATTAGGGATACCCATAACATTCGATTTATTTGAGGTGGATAGCGCTGCCAGTCAACTTTATCAACCAGCTGATCCTATTCGCGTATAATGTGGCAACTTTGAATCTTGAACGGAAAATCAATTTTTTTTCTAAATGAGTGCCACAATGGAACACAAAGGGCGACTGTTGCTGAAGAACTTTAGTTAAAAACGCAAACAGCCATGCCCAGCAGTCTTTTGTTCGCTACTAGCAGCGAGGGACGCGTTCATACGCTGTCCACCAGCTCGAGTGGATGGCGTGAGTTTCCGTATCTCGGTCTGGAGTTCAAGAAAATCAGCGCAGTCCCAAATTATATGTGGGCCATTGGCGGGGATCGTCAGGTATACGTTCATGTTCATGGACTTGATGTGCCGATACGCGTCAAGGAGGAGTCTTACGAGAACGAGCGCTGGCTGCCCATCGAGGGATTTGCGAAAACGCTGCTTCCCACCGACCGCTATAAGTACTCAAACGCTGATGGTAGCATTGAGAGAAGCGTGGACAAGATACGCCTGCCCTCCATGGCCTGGCAGTGGGACGGTGATTGGCATCTGGACCTAGAGCTGGACGGGCAACAGCTGGCCGAAGATGGCTGGATGTACGCACTGGATTTCCCAGCCACGTATTCAGCGAAAAAGTCATGGAATTCGTATGTGCGGAGACGAAAATGGATCCGTTTTCGCCGTTATGCCGCCCTTAACAGCTGGTGCGCCGTCGCACCCCTGCACAAGGACCCCACACAGGAGCCCTTCATCGATGTGGCCATTGGCGGTACACATGTGCCCAATGCTAGAGCCGGCACACTTTGTGTCTGGGCCATAACTGCACACGGCCGGGCCATGTTTCGCACTGGCGTCACAGCCTTCGCACCGGAGGGCTTACGCTGGACTGCCATTAACACACCTACCGGCAGCGAACTGGCACAGATAAGCGTAGGACCAACGGGTCTGGTCTGGGCGGTGCTCTACAATGGGCGTGTCATTGTGCGTACGGGCATAACGCGCGATAATCTGTCGGGAGAGGGGTGGCTGGACGTGAAGTCACCAGTTGCCACAAGTGCACCGACGGACACGCCACGTGGTCTGCGCATTGTACAGATTTCGGTGGGCACAGATGCAGTCTGGTGTATTACAAACGATAACCATGCCTGGTTTCGACGTGGCATTAAAGGGGATGCAGCGGGCATTAGCGAGGATGCCGCCATAGGCAGAGGCTGGGTGGAAATGGTTGGAAATCTCTCGATGATCTCAGTGGCACCCAATGATCAGGTATTAATATTTTATTTACATATATAAACCAATTGATAATAAGCATTTCTTTGTTAATCAACAGGTGTTCGCGATTGGTGCTGCAGACCGCGCTATTTACTACCGATCTGGCGTTAGCGCCGCCGATCCCACCGGCAAGAAATGGATGAAGATCCAATGCTCAATGCAAATCAGTCGCTCCTCCAGTTCCTTGTCAATAGTTTCACGCAAAAGTGGCGGCAGCAGCTCAACGCCCGGCTCCAAACATCAAAGCTTCTCCAATCTCTACTTGAAGGAAAAGGAAAAGGGCGTTGTGGAAACGTGCGCAGTCATCGAAACAGTTACCACGCACAGCAACGGCTCATCGAACAATGGCCTGAACAGTCGTTTGAAAAATGAGCGCTGGAAGCTGAATGCCGACTCACCGCCCACCATTGGCAGTCTCAATCTGAACGAGCGTCAGAAGCATCGGGCCACAGCATTGCGCGAACCCTTGGCGCACGCCTCCAGTGCGCCAGCCGCTGAGGTTGCGGAGATCAGCGGCAAATTTGAGACGCAGCTGAAAAATCCGCGTGCCTGGTCGCCGGTGCGTAGTGTTGGATCTGTTGTTGGCACCGAAGCTCATCCGGAGAGTGATTCGGCTGTCTTTGAGTCGGAATCTGCACATGGCTCCGATGCGTTCCTAGGGGAAGACGACGATCACAATGGCTCGCAATTTTGGACTGAGTGTGCGGTCATGTGGAGCTGTGTGACCACGGGCGCCGTCACTGTGGATGCCAACAACATTCCCAACTGGTTTAACGAGCATCACAATGATGGTGGTGCCGATGCGAATCCCAATTGGCGCAACGATATACTCCAGAAACTGAAGCAGCGCCAGCAGACCGTCGCCAAGCTGCAGCAGGAAACACATTACGAAAAGGCAGTCGAGCTCACATCTTGGATTAAAACGGCGGACGCTCGCTATCAGCATCCAGCTGGCGACTACGAAGACTGCGTCATTGAGCTGGAGTGGGTCAGCGGCAACTGTGGCGACAGCACAGAGAATGACTCCGGCACCTTCACGGTGCTCAGCCCTGATGGTGCCGCAACCAAAATACAATTCGCACTCTCCGACATCACGTGCGTGCAGTGCTGCAGCGAGCCGGGTGCACCGCGTCTGGCCATACATGCGATGCATTTGCGCGTTAATTGCAGCCCGGTCAAACTGCAATTCACCAGTGATGCGGACATGGAAGATTGGCTATCGCACCTGTCCTCAGTGTGCAGTCAAATCAATATGCTAATGGGCAAGCCAGCAAGCAATGCCATTTGGCTGACCAGCGAACTAGGTGATGTATTTGTCTTTGACGCCGCCAACATGAAAGCACAACAGCTGCAAAAAGACTCCAACGGACAAGCTCATTATGTGGAGCGAATGGATGTGTCCACGTGTGAGACACCCTACTACAACACCCTCTATAATGGGTAAGTCTTTTTGATATGATATATATGATGTACGATAAATGTCTGGGCATTGAGTGTTAACGCTTGAAATCGCTTTTAGGATGCCTTGTGGCAGCGAGCTGGAGATTTCGGGCTGTGTCTACGATGATGCCGATCAGATTCGCTTCGATTTGCAGTGCCATTCAAATATTAAAGCAATGCCGCATCGTGTGGAAAAATTTCGAGTAATTGCGATGCATTTGAATCCGCGTTTTAATGAGCGCACAATTGTGCTCAACTCCATGATAGACTCGGAGTGGCTCGAGGAAATACGTAACGATCGTATGGTATTTGCGCCAGGTGCGAGCTTCACGGTAAAAATCAGGTAAGCTTACATACTTATCAGTCTTTCTAATTAATACTTATTGGAAACACTCGAACAGGGCACTTCAGAATCAATATCAGATTATTGTGAACAATGCGCTCTACACAGATTACAAATATCGGACTGATCCGGCGGCCGTCACGTGCCTCTATGTGAGTGGGCGTGTCAAGCTGTTCAATGTGGAGTATCGTTCGCCATCGCTAATTGTCTCAATGCAGCAGATGCACTGGCGCCAAATGGGCGGTCATGTCAAGCGGGTGTATAACAGCGGCGTCGATGTCGTCTGGGGTATATCCTGTGATAATACAGCTTGGGTATACAACGGTGGCTGGGGCGGCATGTTCCTGAAGGGGCTGGAAGGCTCCGGCAAAATAAATCCCATGATTGACACGCACACCTACTATGTGTATGAGAATCAGCGCTGGAACCCCATCAGCGGTTTCACTGCCAAGAGTTTGCCCACAGATCGGCACATGTGGAGTGATGCAAGCGGGCGACAAAAACGCAGCAAGGAGCACACCAAGCTGCTATCCACGCACTGTGAATGGATATCGGATTGGGCCATCGACTACAATATACCCGGCGGTGCGGACAAGGAAGGTTGGCAGTATGCAATCGACTTCCCGGCCAGCTATCATGCACAAAAGAAGCTGACGGATTGTGTTCGGCGGCGACGTTGGATGAAAAAATGCCGCCTCAGCAGCAGTGGACCTTGGCAGGAGCTCAGCCATTCCAAGATACTCGATGCCGCATTGCAAGTGCTGGACAGTGATGTGGACAAAGCATTAAATGTCGAGGATATGCCCGTAGCTGCTTGGGCCGTTGCCTCAAATGGCGATGTGTTAATCAGGCATGGCGTTTCCACAATGAATCCACGCGGTGACACCTGGGAGCACATTGTGAGCGACCAGCCATTGATTGGCATAAGTGTGGGGCCCACAGGTCAGGTCTGGGCGGTTGCTCGCAATGGTATGATCTTCTTTCGCTATGGCATCAATAAGGTGAATCCCTGCGGTGACGCCTGGCAACAGGTGGAGGCACCTTCTGGCATTACCTTCAAGGCTATTAGTGTGGGCCGCGCTGGTATTTGGGCATTGGACAATCAGCAACGGCTGGCAGTGCGTAAGGAGGTAACACGTACATTTCCGGAAGGATCACATTGGCAATTCCTTCCAAATGCTGCCAATGTGCCGCCGCACACAGAAGCTCACTGCGGTTTTCGGTCCGTATCTGTGGGCAAAGAGGTGTGGGCCATTTCCCTCAATGGCATCATTTGCCGTCGATGCGGCATAACCAGTGAGAATCCTGCCGGTGCCGGTTGGAACTTGGGCATTGCGGTACGTCTAAAAATATTTTGCATTTTGCAACAACCTTAGAATTTGTACATTTATTACAGGGCCAGTGGCAACAGTTATCCCTGGAGGGATATATGTAACCATCGCATTCCGTTTTCAGTATTTATATGTATACTCTGCACCCAGAGTGGATACATGCATATGTTTGATATACCTTAACCTTTAAGACGAACAGTGGCTAGTAACGCGGGAAAGCTCAGGACTCTTGCAGCTGGTGTAGCCAAAACTTCAGCTGCTTGATAACTGGATGCAGAGTATAATAGTCTAACTAACTTGACTGCAGCATACTTCCTTTTTCCATTATAATATGAAATGCTTAAACATCAGCTTAATTGTATTGAGCGTATTTTATTTCCAGAAGTCTGTTTTTGTTGTTAATTATAATTTATTTATCATTAAGCCTACAGCCCCTACGATTTATGCAGCCTATATTTATATATTTATTTTTCTGAATATATTAAATGCTTACAACTTATAATATGTTTACTTTGGTACGAATATGTAAATCAAAATTGAATTTACGTTAGTATCGGTAAAATTAATTTGAAATAATGACATATCGATAACAGTTATACCTATATCGTACTTCGATATTGTAATCAATTCAGCTCTGTAAAAAAAGGCATAAGTACTAGTGTTGCTCAATTCGAGAAGCAAGTTCACCTGAGAATCAACAGCAAAAAAGTTTATAAACGTATTTAAAGTAAACCCATTATAATAAGTAAACAATGTCTGACTATGATAGTGTACGCATAAAGAAGTTGGTTCTTAAGGGAGAAAAGCACAAGTGAGCATTTGAAAAGAAGCAAACACAAGCATGTTCAAATTGACTTTGTTTATAGAAAAAGTAAAAAACGCAAGAAGGAAAAGGAACACAAAAATGACGAGACAGCCAAACGTAGCAAGACGGTTACGGATGAAGATGCGATTCAGCACGCTGGTTGGTGGACAGCGACGACAGCGGCAAGCATTGTTGGCTCAGTGGCAATTGAATTTGCCGATCGTTGCTATTTGAAAGCCCTGGACAATGGGTAACTTATAAAAGACTTAAATGTATATTAAAACTAACTGAAATTTGTTTTTAGATTGTTTACTTTGGGCGCGCCTCACAATCCTGGCGAAGGTCCTGACCCGGAGGAAATATTTACGGCGTTTCCAATCAACGATCGCAAGGTCTCCTTCAAATCGGGTTACGGCAAATATCTGAAAATTGAAAAGGACGGCATGGTTACGGGACGTTCAGAGGCTGTTGGTAGCATGGAACAGTGGGAACCCGTCTTCGAGGTAAGCCCATAAAACTATTCAACCAAATGTTTATAAATTTATCATTTGTTTGCTGAACTCATCATTTAGGACAAGCAAATGGCTCTACTCTCAGAAACGGGTCACTTCATGTCCATCGATCCGGAGGACGACGCTTGTGTGGCGCTACACAAAAAAGTGGGACCCCAAGAAATTTGCCGCGTGCGCACCAATGCAGCCAGGGATGTTGTTGTCGATGAACAACCAAAAGAGGAAAAAGGCGATCTGGGCGAAGTTGAGAAAAACTATGTGTAAGTGTGCATAAGATTTGGCTTCATTAAATTCCGCATATTAAGTTAGATGCCTTCTTTTTTAGCAAAAAGTTTCAAAAGTTCCAGGACAAAAAGATGCGCATTAGCAAGAACGATGTGAAGGAGCTTGAGGAAGCTAAGGCCCAAGGACTGCTACACGAAACTCTTCTCGACAGGCGAAGTAAGATGAAAGCAGATCGATATTGCAAATAAAGAGTTAAAATTTATGTAACAGGCGGAAAAAGACATATCCGAGCACACAAAGTATGTTTTTCTAAATAATATAACGCCTTTCCATATGATTTTAATAATTTCAACGATGGCCCTAAGATTTTCATACCTTAAGTTCTTGTTGTGTTTGTTTATATATTTATAATTTGTCCAAGTTGGGTACAGGGTATCTTCTATTCAAACATTTTTCAATTGGCTAAAATATGCGTTTATTTCAAACGGAATTCGAAATGTTTTGTTCCGTGAGAAACAACAATAAGACTTCTTTCATTTGGATCGGAGAAAATTGAAAATTGAGATGCTGAAGAGAGCGGCGAAGAGCAGAGAACATTGGAATTTACAAGAGCGTGAGAACGCCTCCCAAATGCCAGACACACAAACCGGTTTGCTGTGTGAGCCACTAACTGAGATACAGATTGAGCCGAACATTCAGTTGGTTTTGGTTGAGGAACTGTGACGGAACAGAGCGCATAACAAATATAGTTTGACGAAGTAGTTTTCTGTTTATATTTACCTGTTTGAAAGAAATGCGAAAAGCGCAGGGTGTGTCGTTGGGCCCGGACAGACGCCTTGGCTTGGACGCCTCAGAGACGTATTCAACGTCGAGCTCATCGCTCAGCAGCTCGTTCAGTGATGGCAGCGATCTGGTCAACTGGGAGGAGTACGTGGCCGAAGACGGTAGCCTGTTCTATGCCGAATATGTGCCCAGTGTCAAGGTGAATGTGGCGGAGCGACGCGGCGAGCTGCTGCGCCGTTCACTGCGCCTGGGAAAGAAATCAACGCGGCGGCAGCAGCAGAATAGAGGCCAACAGGGCAAGCACAATGGCAACCAATACAACAGTAACAACAACAACAACCACAGCGGCGGGGGGCAGCAGCAGCAGCAGCAGGCACAGACCGAGCCAGAGAACGATGCCAGCAACGGGTTCCGATTCGCAGACATTAAGAATTCGCACGCCGATGCCAGCAATCAGAAGCAATTGGAGCTGGTTATAACGGCAACGGATCGCTTCCGCTTTGGTCGTCGCTCCACCGCCGTCGAGTCCATACTGGGCTTTCGTGTGCTGCCCTTTCCCGATCAGCCCGAGTGCCTGATGGTGGATAGTTTTGTGCATGATATAAGCGCCATGCAGCATAACATAAAACGCGGCGATTGGTTCAAGTCTTTGAATGGCATCGAGTTGTATGCCAGCAATGTGGATGAGCTGCTGCAGCAGTTCCTGGAGCCCACCCAGGTGTGTCTGGGCTTTCAAGGCGTCAGCATTGCCAGTCCCGCTGCCAGCACGGATGAGGCCAGCGGCCAAGGTAATCAAATGCCGCAAGTGCGCAAATTGGTCAACTTTGCCGCGTTTGCGGATCAGTTCGAGCAGCTGCTGCCGCCCGCTGTGACTGTGCCGGACACGTTGACGCCCTTTGGCATGCTGCTGCTGCCGCCGGAATGCTATCAGCATGATCAGCACAAGGATTCGCTCTACTACTACCCAGAGTCGGCGCTGACCAATTTCCTGTACAAGGCACGCGGCAGCTTCCTGACGCTCTGCTCTGTGCTCAACGAGCTGCAGACGGAGCCGTTGACATCCCGGCTGCTGGTCGACCAGGTGCCCTACTATGTGAACTATCGCAGCTTGAACGGCTTCCTGGTGCTTTTCGCCTATGCGGCGCGTTTATATAGCGCGGCCGAATCCAGCTTGAGATCGGATGAGCTCATCGGTTACATTAGATTCTCGCTGCCAGGTCTGAATCTGGATAACTTTTCCACTGCCAACGATAGCTCCAACGGCCTGCGCCAGTTTTTGCGTCACTTTTGTGGCATTCAACGAACGCGACTGTTGGCCCAGCCGCGTGGCGAGCTGCAGTTCGAGCAGCTGCTGAAGCAGTCGAGGAGCTTGCCCCTGCCGAAGGAGGCGCAATTGCGCATATTTGATGCTTTGAGCGAAATGGAGGCCATGGACTACCGCAACTGGAACGATGAGCCGTTGACCACGCATCGCGAATTCTTTATCTATGGCTGCGCCCTGTACTATGACAGTTTCCTGCTGGCCAGCCTGCTGCCCGCCGAGGTGCGCTTCAATGTGGAGCTCTTCCTGCGCTGTCGCGGCATATTTGACTTTATCGGAGCAGCGCCCACTGTCCGCGTCCGTGAGCTGTATGTGTGGGAGGAGATTGTCCTGGCCAATGCAACGGGTCGCTACTTTCTGACAGTGTGCTCGCGCAGCCATCTGATCCTGACGGTCATCCTTAAGATGTACGTTGATGCGCCCGAAATGGAGGCCTTTACCGCGGTGCCGCCATCCTTGTTCTACATCGAGGAGATACAGGAGACTTTGGATCACCTGATCCAGTGCGGCATTGAATCATTGGCCAAGTTCTGGTCCATATCCAACAAGCGTCCGGAAGTGCTCGATCAGCAGAAGCTCGAGCAGTCCGGCGAGGAGCAGGAGGCCAGCAGCAAACTGGAGTCGTTCCTCAAGCAGAAACCCAACACCTCACACTCGTCCGCCGCCAACGATGAGGAGGCACAACTGTGCTCATCCCTGGGCGGCTCATCCATACACAGTCTGACGCCGAGTGAGGACGAAATGTCGCGCCGGCGTCTGACGCCCGCCGATGACTCGGACAGCGGCTCGGACTGGGAGAACTTTGCGGAGCAGCATCCGCTGCACTACGGCCTCAATCTGAATGCCGAGACCCAAAGCCAAATAACAACATCCCTCTGGAAGGAAATCAACAATGTGCTGCCCGTGAAAATATCCGCCGGCTGGAAGAACTCCGTGCTGCACTACGTTTACGTTGACCTCACAAATGGCGTCCTGCTGTGCCCGTTCACAGCCAGCTCAGAGAGCTTTCCATACCTAAGTGAGATACGCAAGGCATGTCATATGATTCACCTGGTGCTGGAACGCTCGAAGCATCATCGCCGCCAGCAAATGGCGGAGCCAGCCCGATCCGCGATGACACATGCCAGCAATGATATAACCATTGTTAAGGAGCATGGCATTACCATGGAAATCGCCAATCCCGCCAAGGAGCATCCTGGCAAGCGTTTCGTTGTCGTTGGCCGACTCTTTCAATCTCCGGCAAAGGAAGTGTATGTGTGCCACGTTCCGGAGGTGCCACAAAATATGGTCGAAATGGCATTTCGCTTGTCCTTCTTCTCCATGGGATAGTCGATGATCATTTTAACCAATTTATAGTATTACAAAATAAAGCTTAGATAATTGAAAAATTATCTAATTTTTTATCCCATTTTACACACAGGATGGTGAAGTGAAATAAGCAAAAATATAATAACTCAAATGAATGTTGATGATGCTTGAAAATGAGTTTGAAGCCATTAATTCCTTATTAATCAATCAATCAATCAATCAGTCAGGATTAACAGTTTTATTTATATAAAGCTTCAATCTCTTTTCTGAGACTCCCTTTTTTCCATTATCTCCTTGACACCTTTTCAATTTATGACATAATTCAGAAGCCAATCAATCAGTCAGTCAGTCAATCAGTTTTAATATTGTAAATAGGTAGTCTCTTTTCTGAGACTCCCTTCTTTCCATTATTTTTTCTATTGATATAAACAATTGTGTCTCCTTTGCGCTCCTCTGACACCTTTTGTAATTTATGATACGAAAATTGCAGAGTTTTTCATTCATATTTTGATCGCGAGGAAAAACATTGGCACTATATTTAGATAAACGTACGCACCGGAATATACGACACGCGCCCTAGTCGCATATTTATAAACATAAATTCATAAATATATATAAATATGTATATATGTGTATATAGATGTGTGTGTGTGTGTGTACAAATACAATGTCAACGTTTCATTCTGCAAAAGCTGCCCTCGCGATATGCTCATCCGTCAGTTGTCAATGAGGCCTCCCAGACAGCGGAACACCCAGGGTCTCATTTATTTCCGACGGAGTGCACATTAGGGCTTACATCATTGTTAGCTGGAGATGCCAAAGTGGTTGCTGTGCGTCGCCTGCGTTCTTCTGGCCACGGTACTTGCACTGGACGAGGTGGACAATAATAACCTTAATGCCAATGAGACTGAAAGTTCGCCGGATGCGGAAACGGACGTCAAATTGCCCAGCGAGGTGCAAAGGGCCGTTTGTACCGTTAATGCTGGTGAGGTCAAGGCATCCGCAGAAGCCGTCACCACCAAGACCTTGAAGGGTGTCTGCGGATCGGGTAAGCCCCAAGCACAACTCGAATACTGCATGTCCGATAATGTAACGCCCGTTTAGATGAAATGAGTCTGGCTTTTCGCAATCTGGAGGAGAAATTATTTGGGGAATTGCGTGAAATTAAGGAGCTGCTGGCGAAGCTAAGCGAGCTGCGGGCACATCCAAGTGGCAGCTCCAGTCCGTTGACGTCAGTTCCCCTAATAAAGCCAACTGTTATAAAAAGAATCAAGTTTGAGCAGATAACTATGAAGCCCATCGAAGAGAAAAAGCAGCCGATGCTTAAGCAATTGGAAAACGCACCGGAGCGCGAGGAAGAGATTGGCAGGTTTAACAATACAATGTTGGCGGATCAGGACTTTCAATTATTCACATATTATTGGAAGCTGGAAAACTTTACGGACCACATTTCTAATGCGTCGACCGCAACCGTCAAGAGTCCAATGTTTAGCATTAGAGGCGAGTACTCAAATGGAAAATAATCTCTGGAATCTAATCTTTAGTTACCATCCAGGCAAGACACTTCAATTGAAGTGCACATTTCAGCATTTGCATCGCGATATGATAAATTTGCAGCTGGCATTGGCATATCCAGCTCATGATCCTGGCAAGGGCAAGGAAAACAATATAATGCTGGATATGGGCGGACAGTGGAAGCAATTGAAATGGACGGATCGTGTCGCGTTTAAGCACAAAATTGCATTATTGGATCAGAATCAGAGCCATCGACGCACACAGGACCTCAGTTCACAGGAGTTAACCAAGCTCGATATGGGATTTTCCATACCGAATAGCGCAATTTTGGGCAGCAATTATGTAAGGCACAATTCGCTTCTAATACAAATCATTTTATATTTGTGAGAGGTTTACATTTTAATGAAATTAAACCAAAACAAGCAACCATTAACCCATTTAGCCAGACACTACGCAATTAGAAAGTTAAGTCTACCTCCTTAGAGCTTGCTGCGTGCACCCTTGGCCTTGATGTCTAAGAAGGGCATCGCAATGGGATACAGCTCTTTGCAGGATTTGAATGCCACAATATCGTTAATTGTTGTATGGCGTTCAGTGCTGGTCACCGGACTTTCATCCTCCTCGCTGCTCGGGGCATTCGGATCTTTCAGTGTCGACACAATGTGCACTGACAAAACTCTTCGTTCTTCGCCATCTTTTGCTATAAATTTCTGTAAATTCAAACAAATTAGCCATACACATAATTGGAAATTGTAAGAAAAGCGAGTCGCACCTTGAAGTAGTCCACAAAATCGGCTTTCGTTATTTTGCGCAGTATTGCAACTTCGGCCTCCTCGCGTTCAAAGTGATACGTTTGCATGGCAATTTCACCATAGAACAGACTAAACTGCTGGAATATCGTTTTCGGCTTCTCCAGCTTCTTGACAATCAACGCCTCCTTATGGCGCGCAAACTCATCCAACGGCATATCCTCAATGACTTGCTAAAGATGCGAATGTTCAAAATTATTGCTCCTTTTTCTCTAACATCACCTTACCAAATAGGTCTGCAAAAAGTTCTCGATGCGATCTTCGACAAATGCGGGATGCTTCGCAGACTGTACAATAATGCGAATACCATTGGCGCCGTTCACTTTGCGCACACCGCTGAAGACAATATAGCCTAGTTGCTCCTTTGTGCGAAGGCAATCATAGCAGGGCTCGGATAGCACTTGCGACACCAGATTGACCATAATATTGGTAAGATCCGTTTGCGCGCCACACTGCATATAGAGCTGGGTGCAGGAGCTCTTGTGAAACTCATTTTCCTTCTCAAACAGATAACTATCACCTGGTCAAAGTAAGCAAATGCAATATTCATTAGAAATTTTAAATATTGATATGACAGTGAGTGTTTACGTACCCGGTACCAACTTGTACTCGCGCTTTTTTAGCATTTGGCGCGCTAATATTGGCAACTTTGTCGCGTTTGTTTTCTCTAATCGCTTATTGACGCGACCCGCGATATCCGTAGCCTGTTGCTTGGTAACGTTGCCAAAAATGAAGCACTCCGTATGTAATCGCTGGAAAAACTCCTTGGCAAAGTTCAACACACGGTCATAGGAAACAACTAAAATGTGAAAAAAGCTGATGATTTGATTACGGAATGGAAAACATTGCTATAACTCACGTTCCATAGCATCTAATAGCTCCACGTTTGCCCAGGCGTTCTCGGTGAGAAGCAGGGCCAGATAATAGATGGAATGCTGATAGGGTTGTTCTGCCTTAAAATTCTTTAGTGATCGTATGTACTCCTCCTTTAGTATGTCGAAACGCATCTCATCTATGCTGAAGTCAAACAAGTGATCCAACAGCTTCTCAAGTAAAACAACCTGCTTGTCATTAAAGCCTCGTATAGTAAACTAAAAAGGGAATTAATTTTTATAGCTGTGTATTTAATTAAATCATTTCCACTTACATCGATGCCGCCTGGCTTAGTGGTAACGCTTAGCTTAAGGCTAGCCAGCTCTGCGTCATATAAATACTCATTGAGCTGATCCTTTAGCAGCATAACCATCATGTGGTTCAGATTACAATTCAAGGGATCCAAATATGCAATAGGATTAGACATATCGAAGGTCATGCATGCTTTGGGCTTGTTGAATTGGTTGTCCTGTTTGTGCCATACGCGTAGAATGGGCGTGTCCAGTATAATTGTGGGATGCTTGGGAGCATCACTGGGCACATCGGCAATTTCAAAATTGCTCGGTATAAAACTGTTTGGCAGTGCCAGCTTTAGATTCTCATTAACTTCGCAACTTTCCCAGGCCTATAAGTGATTTGAAATTAATCTTAATAATCAAAGTTTGTCAAGGGCTTAACATACACAAATTGTCTTCTGCGGTATACGCTCCAAACCATATTTCGTTTTATAATACGGCTCAGTTTGATCGGTAGACTGCTCGAAGCTCTGGCTAACCAGGGAAATGCGACTTTTGCTGGGCACCAGTTCGTCTAGGAGCTTGCAAACCAATTCCGGACGCCACTCGTTGCTCATATATGGTGCAATTAGCACCTCTTCTAGTGGGAATATTTGCATGGATGATACTGCATGGGTAACCAAATTCTCGGGTTGCTCTTTCTCTTTGAAACGGAAGCGCATTTCGTTTAGCTTAACACATTCATCGAAAATCCATTTCTTGGGACCCTCTTTACGCAACATGCACAAATACTGAAATATTATGTTCACAATGTCATCAACATGCTCCAAACCCTCCTGTGTTAGATCCACAACTATCTCAAAGAAACCAAAGCCATTCTGCGTGTTTTGATGACCGGCCATAAGACTGCAAAAAAAAAAACAACATCGTAAACTAAATCTTGGTTAACCTCAGTGTACTTACTCATTACACCAGCCAAGCCTCCGTAACTCGGATAATATGCTGCCTTTGCCCTCATGTCCAATAAGATGCGTCAAATAATTGTCGGGCTGCAGATAATATTCTTCTTTTAAGTAAAACTATTCTTTACCTTAACAATTTCAATTTCCTTACCCCGGATTTGTAGTACTGTGTCAGATCGTCGGTCGTAAAGCTAATCGTTAATGAGCGTATGTCCTTAATGGGCACTATCTTTAACTTCTGCCCGTACTGTTCCTCTCCGTAAGGATGCCTTGGCCACTCCGGTACCTTTACATTCTTATTTTCTATTTCCGAGAACTTTTCCATTACCATACATTCGAGATGATCTAACGATTCTGTCAAATTAAAATTACAAATATTTGAGATTAATTTGGTTTCACAAATATTGTTACTGTACTTACCTTTTCCAATAACAGCAAGGCACATGATGTTCGCTGAATACCAATATTTGTGAAACTTTAACAACTCCTCACGCACATCCATGCCTTTGGACTTGGGTATTTCGGAGAGCGTGGCCTTGTTCCCGCTGCCGAACTTGCTGTAGGCATGATCCGAATTGGCCAAATGCCGATGCACCTGCTTGATCCGCCACAGATCGCTTGATAAATTCTTTTCATGCTCCGAATTAACCTGCAAAGATTGCACTTAATGAACGTACAATATGGTATTACTGATATTCCACATACTGCGTTGATTTCTCGCTCTGTTGCGCTGGGCGTGAATAGAGGCGCAATAAAGAACTGCGCAAAGCGATCCAGCGCACCATCCAGCTTGTCGGGGGCAACGTGAAAATGATATTTTGTCATGAGCGGATACGTGGCAGCATTGCTGCTACCGCCACTCTGGGAGAGGTACGTGGTATAGCCGTTTTCGTGTGGATACTTCTCCGTGCCCAGAAAGAGCATGTGCTCGCAAAAGTGCGCCAACCCCGGCAGGTTCTCTGGGTCTGACATATGACTGCAATAAAAAACAAATGACGATTAATTATGCATATATATATGGAATACCTAGGCCCATCTTTGGACTCTTACCCAACCTGCACAGAAAGTGCAGCAGCCGAAACATCAGTGGTTGGATCCGATATTAGCAATACTTTAAGACCGTTTTCCAACTGCAAGCCACGATAGTCGCGTGTGTCCTGTTGCGATTTTTCAATATTGTTTATGCTGAGTAAAATAAATTTCATGTTATGTATTTTGCGAAAGGTTTTTAATAATATATGTATATGCACCGCATTATTGGCTCCAGCTGATCCAATTTCTTGAGCTGCGTCTTTCGGTTGGTTGCTGTCTCGGTTAAAGTCATTTTCGGCACTGATGTATTTGTAAGCGTTCTATATCCGGATAAATGGTTAATGCAACACTTCCCTCTACTGGTAATGCAACAAACAAGTTTTATTATGTTAATTAATTTTATTGTTATTAAGCGTACTGTCGATGTAGAACAGCTGTTATGGCTTCTGCAAAAATCGATTTGCTGCTGGAAAAAGTTAGACACGTTCGCCGGACAAACATAGAAACGATGTTGCTTTTTCTGCAGAAATTGTTGACGCGTATGAATAAGAATCAATTTAAAGAATAATACTAATTTAAAAATGTTTTAACTTAGCCTCTAGACTTTTACCAATCCAAAATATTTGCAGATGATTTAGTTTCGCAACACCACCAATTCAAAACATGTGTTTCAGGGTTGCCACGCTTGAACACATCGTAATAATGATACTTGATAGTTATGTGCTAGTTTGGATTATTTTTCAGCACGAGGCACCGTGAAATAATTTAAAAAGCCACGGTGGCATTAAATTTTTAACTATTTATTTAAAAAAATAAATGAGCTCTGTACTATATACGATTTATTTCTGGAAATTAACAGCTAAATCGATACAACTATGATAACTTTAAAGCATGTACAAAAATTTAATATGAATTACAATCTTTTCCTAGTCCTTCTTGTTTTTAAGTCTGGCAACAGCTCATGCTTTGTGATTCGATGATGTTCAACACTGGCTGTGGCACTTATCGACAAACGCATATCGACTGCGGCGCACGATTGTTGTAACAGTTGTTGTAACTGCATTTTATTATTTAACAATTAATAATAATCACATGCGCATGCCTTGTGTATGTGATGCCAAAAGTTGAAATATAATAAAGTCGGATAGTTAGCAATTGAAGTGCAGAGAAATGCAAGTGTACGCAGTTAGTGTATTTATATGTATTTGTATTGGTGCAAATATAAATTGCAAATTGTTGTAAATTTCGTCTGTGTGCGTGTAAGATAAGTGCAACACGCAAATAAAGAACTGGGAGAGCATAGGACGAATAATACAAGTCAAGCAGCAACTGTAAAGGTATATATTTCCTATAAGCTGTTCTCATTGATAAATGTACATGTGTACACATATAAAAGTTTATTAAAAACATCAGAGTTAATTGTTATTAAAAAAACAGTCGAACTTTTGTTGTGAAATTGGATAAAATTCAATTATTGAATATGTAAATTAGTACGCACGTAAATGTTTTTATACGTA